GTGTGTATGTTAACAGTCATATTTCCTTAAATACACAGGTCTGAATAAAAGTTACGAGCTACAAGTGGTGATGAATCCTGGATTTCCTTGACTTCAGCCACTTTTCATCCATTTAGCTAACAAATATGTACGTGTCTACACAGTGGAGATCTTGTACTAGATGCTAGCTATGAAACTTAAACCAGAGAGAGACATTAGACTTGTCCATCTGAATATCTTGGCAATTTGGCAAACCAAAGAAAACAGTTCAAGCTACATAGAAACAAACTTTGGTAAGCACTGAAAAATAAAGGACAGAAAAGCCAGGTGCCAATGGCTCGTTCCTGTAATCCTAACTATTCAGGAGGCTGAGAACTGAGGACAGTGTTCAAAGGTAGTTAGGCAGGAAAGTCTGTATGACTCTATCTCTGCTTTACCACCAAAAAGTCAAAAGTACAGCTGTGGCTCAAGTGCTAGAGTACAAGCAAAAAAGCTTAAGGTCAGCATCCAAACTCTGAGTTCAAGCCAGGACCAGCCCAAAATAAGCACACAAATAAATAAATGACAGTGTGTTAGGAAACTAAATGATACTACATACAGTATGATCTGTGACAGTATAAAACAAACCATCTTTCATGCAAAGACCATCAGGAAGAGTTCACTCAAAGGCAGAATGTAAGGCAGTTGAGAGAACCTATCATATAGCACACTGCTGCTTTAATGTGTACTCTTGTCAGCTTTGTTACATGAACAAATTATATACTGTGTCATTTTTCTCTTGAATAACTAAGGAAAATAATACCCTTAATTCCTCAGGATTGTAACAGAGGCCAAGTGCGGCCCTTGTTATATGTTAATCCCAGACACTCTGTTTGGTAGAGAGGGGAGGCTCAACGTCTGAGGCCAGTCTAACCAAAAAGTTCGCAAGACCTCATCTCAGAACAAAACAATAAGCTGAGTGTTGTGGCATGTACCTGTTATGCTAGCTATAGCAACAAGCATTAACAGGAAGATCACTTTACAGGCAATGCTGAACAGAAACATAAAATAACAAACATTTGACTCTCTTTTTTAAAACAATCAATAACCAAAAGAAGGGCTATAGTGGTAGAGCACTTGGTCTAACCACCCTGAGACCTTGAATTCAAACCCTAGTACCACATACACACAAAAAAAATTTTAGTAAAGACTTGGTCAAACTCTTGTTTTCTTATGAAAACTGTCAAAAACAAGGAATATTAAAATAACTTGACAAAGTGCATTAACTCACATAGGCCATAATTTCCCAGGTGAATTAACATCTCTAAATTACTTAGAGGAGTTCCTGCATACATAAACATCTCCACCTATATGCAGTTATGCTAACTAGCTACTTTATTATTAGGACACACAAATTGTATAAGGGGAGATTCTACAAATGTAAAACAAGGTGCCCTTATCCACTCTATCATTCACCCTCATCCCAGTCCTTCTCCTTACAATTTCCACAGGTTTGTTCTAATGTCATATGTACAAGTGAACTGTGATCTTCATTTACCCTCTTTATTAGCTTGCCCCACTCACACCTGAGCCTATTTTACCTTCCTGTCACTCTTTTTTTTCTTTCTTGCTTATGTGGTGCTGAGGAATCGAACCCAGAGCCTCAGAGGCATGCAAGGCAAGCGCTCTACCACTGAGCCATCTTCCCAGCCCCTGTCACTCTTTTTGTTAAAGTGCATATTACTTACAGCAAAGGGTGATATTTCACACATGCAAATATTATATTTTGCTCAGAATAACCCTTTCCGTTTCCTTCTTCATATCTAACTAGTTACTTCAAATTTAAAAGCGAATTGAAAACGTGAGAAAATTAACATCAAATACTTTTTAGAGGATACTGGTCAGTTTTTTTTTTTCCCCTGAGATCCTACAGGACATTCTGAAATATAAAAAGAGAAAATAAAGAGTGAGGGAAGGATAAAAGAAGGAAAGGAGGAAGGACATACAAGGGACGAGAGGAAAGAATTGGGGTAGTCCAAGGTCTCCCCAAGACCAACACTTTATCAGAAAGTCAACAGCGCACTCTGCTGGACCCAAGTCTCTCCTACACACAAGGTAAAAATAATTAAAATAGGCTACAACTATTTTTATTAATATATATATAACTTTAGGATTCTTGATGAGTAAATTAAAAGCCTCTTAGATTAAAAGAACACACACTCATCCAGGCATGTGCACACAAATCCTAGAGAAAATGATTATGAATGGTAGAACAAAATTTTATCACATTATTAACATCCTAATCTCAAAAAACAAAATGTATTAACATTACTTTACCCATATGCAAACTGAGTCCTCACTAGATTCCATATGAGTACTGAAAAGTTATTCATATAAGCGAGGGTGTTGATACTGCTTTCTTTTTTTTTGCTTTTCTATTTTTCTAGGGCCTCATATATGTAGACAGGTGTACTACACTGAGCTACCTACACAGCACTACACTATTTTCTGATGCGAAGAGTGGACAAAGCTAGACATAACAATTTACAGAGTGGAAATTAAATTATTTTAATAAAAACTAAGAAAAAGAGCTGGGCACCGGTGGCTCACACCTCTAATCCTAGCTACTCAGGAGGCTGCAATCTGAGGATCATGGTTCAAAGCCAGGTTGGGCAGGAAAGTCCATGAGACTCTTATCCCCTATTAACAATCAGAAAACCAGAAGCAGAGCTGTGGCTCAAAGTGGTAGAGCGCTAGCCTTGAGCAAAAAGAACTCAGAGACAATGCTTAAGCCATGAGTTCAAGCTCCACAACCAACCAAAAAACCCAAAAAAAACAAAAACCTAAAGCAGTTAATATCAAATTCAAGGAAATCACTAAGCTGATTTATGGAGAAAATTTTGCTCAAAATAACAGAACTAAATATTTGAAAAGTATGAAGATTATAACATTTACATCTTAGTAGAAACTAAGCCATTAATTTATGAATCCAAATAACTATTTTTCTGAAGGCTCAGGGATATTCCATCCATGCTTGCCTAGCATGTATAAAGCCCTGAATTTGATTCTTAGTGCCACAAAAAAAAAAAAAAAAACTCTAAATAGTCTAGATTTAAAAAGATTAGGGGCTGGGAAGGTGGCTCAGTGGTTGAGCGCTTGCCTTGCATGCCAGAGGCCCTGGGTTCGATTCCTCAGCACCACATAAGCAAAAAGAAAAAAGCAAGTGGTTCTGTGGCTCAAGGGGTACAGCGCTAGCCTTGAGCTGAAGAGCTGAGGGACAGTGCCCAGGCCCAGAATTCAGGCCCCACGACCGGACCCAAAAAAAAAAAAAAAAAAAAAAGATTAATGAAAGATGTATGATCTTTCAACTAAAGTTCAAAAATATGAACTGACTTTTTCAACTACTTTATCTAAAAGATTTGATGATAAAATAAACTAACTCTATATTCCCATTCTTTTATGTCCATGGTAATGATTAACTCTAATTCTAAAAAAAATAGATGTATCATTTAATACTAAATATCTATGAAATATTCACTAAGTTTACTAATAATTTATTAGAACACAAAAAGTACAAATATTCACATTCACTAAGACATTATCATTTTTAATTTCTCATGTTGCTTCAAACTACATATTCTTTTTTGTTACAAAAATTTTTTAATATATATTACCTAAGAATTTATGGGAGTGTCTTGCCTAACTATTCAGAAAATATACAGAATTATATATTAATATTTTCATTATAAATTTTAAAAAGAGCACATATTAGAATCCATGTGTTCTTTGCATTGCAAAAGTGCTTTGATGCATCTTAAATTTACTTTATGCATGTTCAATTAATATGACAAATATCACATAGGTCTTATTACAAGTAGAAGCTCTTTGTCACACTAATGTTACCATTAGAGTACCAGATTTAATTGGGAGATTCAACTTGTTGAGTAAGCCTGTAGACTTATGGGAAACTGTCAGAAACTAAGACCTTTAACATTATGGGTAATAAATCATTCACTTATGGAAAATTACTCTGTTTCTACAGCAACAGTTATACCAGCAAAAACCAAGGGAGGAAACACGATTGGAGGGAGAAAGGGTGAGCAAATTCCATGTATATTATGTAAAAATTGAACTATGTAACTTGAGGTAAGGGATGAGAGGGGGAAAATGGGAGAGAACAATGGAAGGAGTGAAAACAATCAAGATGCTATAACCTGACTTAATCATAAGTACTACTTATTAATAAAATCATAAGTACTACTTATTAATAAAAATAAAAATTGTTAAAAAATCTCCTCTACACATATACCAACACATGCATATACATATATGAAAGAAACATTATTTCTGGTTTAAAAATAAGTCATAAACCCATAAACAGCTATAGAAATGGTTATAGTTTGCCAATGAGAACAAAACATTAATGATCAACGTCAGTCAATATATTATCCAAGCAATTGAAGCACTTTACAGATCACCCAACAAAAACTTCCAAGCTCTGGAACTCATTAAAAAACTCGCTAAAAACTATTCCCAGGCTGGGAAGGTGACTCAGTGTTAGAGTGCTTGCCTTGCATGCATGAGGCCCTGGGTTCAATTCCTCAGCATCACATAAGCAGAAAAAGCCAGAAGTGGCACTGTGGCTCAAGTGGTAGAGCGCTAGCCTTGAGTTGAAGAGCTCAGGGAAGAGTTCAGGCCCCACGACCACCACCTACAACAACAAAAAACAACTATTCCCATAAAGATACTATAGAACTTTGTAAGGGTATTGAAATTCGAAACCATTAGAATATAAAACAGAAAAGAAAAAATAGATGAAACCTTTCTGATCACTCTGTAGTGCACTGCCTGCATTTTCTAAATGAAGAGCCAAGGCACTGAGGGACAGGGTTTACCCACTCACAGTTCACTAAATACACATAACACTACTTAGGACTTCAGGGTTGTTTTTCATTAGTCTTTAAATTACGCAATTCTCTTTTTTCAAAAATGGATTTAGAAAATTCAGCATTACCCCTTATTCAATAAGGACATAAACATACATTCTGTGGAGAAAAGGAGTTTATCTTTTGTAATGGAGAGTTGAGTTTTACAGTCTTTCCTGAAGCAATTTCTGCATCCAAATGGGGCACTTCCTTTTCAAAACACTGACGTTTCCTCATCTGTAGGAAAGGAAGATGAAATTTAATGCAAACTCAAAATCTCACAGGCTAGTTATTTTCAAAGATCAAAATAAGTATTTTTTTTTTACACATCTCCCACTTGAAAAGACTGTGTGTATGTGCATGTACAGGTACATGTACATGTACACTCACAGCCTCATACTCTACTTGGCTTTTTTGCTCAAGGCTGGCGCTCTACCACTTGAACCATACCTCAACTTCCAGCTTTTTGCTAGTTAATTGGAGATAGAATCTCATTGACTTTTCTGCTGGTTTTAAAGTTCAATCTTTGGATCTCAGCCTCCTGAGTAGCTAAGAATTACAGGTGTGAGCATTAGCACTTGGCTCTGAAAAGACTTATTTTTTATGCTACTACTAGAGCTTGAACTTAGAACTTTGAGCTTGACTTTTTTGCTCAAGTCTGGTGTTCTGCCATTTGAACTTCCTCTGACAGACTATTTCTAAATGGCAATAATCAAATAGTTGTTTTGTTTTTGTTTTTTCTCAGTCGTGGGGCTTGAACTCTGGGCCTGGGCACTGTCCCTCAGCTCTTCAGCTCAAGGCGAGCACTCTACCACTTGAGCTACAGCGCCACTTCTGGTTTTCTGGTGGTTTATTGGAGATAGGAGTCTCACGGTCTCTCCTGCCCGGGCTGGCATTGAACCACGATCCTCAGATCTCAGCCTCCTGAGTAGCTAGGATTACAGGCGTGAGCCACCAGCGCCGGGCATAGTTGTTTTTCTTTAAACATATGGGTGCTGGTTGCTCGTGCCTGTAATCCTAGCTACTCGGGAAGATGACATCTGAAGATAACAGTTTGAAGCCAGCCAAACAGGAAAGTTCATGATCCCTTTTTTTTTTGGGTCCGGTCGTGGGGCCTGAACTCTGGGCCTGGACGCTGTCCCTCAGCTCTTCAGCTCAAGGCTAGCGCTCTACCACTTGAGCCACAGCGCCACTTCCGGCTTTTTTCTTTTTGCTTATGTGGTGCTGAGGAATTGAACCCAGGGCCTCTGGCATGCAAGGCATGCGCTCTACCACTGAGCCACCTTCCCAGCCCCAAATTCATGATCCTATGTCCAATTAACCAGCCAAAAAGTCAGAAGTGGAGTTGTGGCTCAAGTGGTAGAGTGCTAGTTAGCCTTAAGCAAAAAAGCTCAGGAGCAGTTCAAGCCCCAGTACCATCATCAAATAAACCCTCAAAAAAAAAAAAAAACCCACGGGCTGAAAGTATGGCTCAAGTGGTACAGCAGCTGCCTAGCAAGTACAAGACACTGAATACAAACCCCAGTGCTACTTAAAAACAAATGATCCCCAAAACAGGCACTTCACAACAGCATTTAAATGAAACATATACGGTAACTGGGGGAAAAAAAAAAAGAATTTTAAAAGCACAAAGTTGCTATAACCAAGATAAGCCTCAAGTAAGTATTTTTCTGTCATATCAACATGCAGTTTGGGCCATACTGACATGCTACCATGAATAACTTGCTGTAATAACAAGTTCCTATGCAACAAGTAACTGAATAAAATGAAACTATAGCCGGATATTAGTAACTCATGCCTGTAATCCTCGCAACTCAAGGGGCTAAGATATGAGGATTGTGGTTCTAAGTCAGCCTACTAAGTAAGTCCATGAGATTTATGTACAAACCAGCAAAAAGCCAGAAGTGAAGCTATAACTCAAGTAGTAGAGCACCAGTCTTGAGTGAAAAAGCTAAGGGATGGCACCCAGGCCCTAAGTTCAAGCCTCAGATCAGGCAAGCGAGTGCCCATGTGTGCGCATGCACATGCACGCACACACACAGTTACAATAAATTACCATATGTAGCTAGAACAAAGCTTTACAAATCACAAGTGCACAAAGGAGTTGTTATTTCATTACTCAGCTTCAATTAAATGGATTATGTCACTGTCTAAATTCTTTACCTGCTGTGCTGTTTCTAAGGGTCGAATTCTTTTCTTCTCTACTTGAAAATCATCATTTTCATCTCTGTATTCAGATGCCTGTTTCTTGGCAAATAACTTTGCAGCCAGAGTGTTTTTCCCAGGAGAGTCTTATATAAAAAGTAAACAAAAATTAGTATAAAGCAGTCATGCAATTTTTAGAAAAAAACAAAAAGCCAAGATGTAGGGCATTTCTAAAAGTTCCACGTAATAGTTAAAAATATGAAATGTTAAACATGTTTAAAATAATTTCTACATCAAAGGTAAAATGAATATTGAGAGCCATACTTTTGATAGGAAACACACAATTTCTTTTTTAAAAAAAATAGATTCATGTTTTTTTTTTTTTTTTAAGGACTGCTCCCAATGACATAATTTAAGACAAATAACTATGGCTGGGGAAATACAACACCTCCCTAGAAAGCATGAAGTCCCCAGTAACACAAATAAGCAATCAAGTAAATAAATAAATAAATAAATGCCATAAAAGTCTATCAAGAATCAAGAAATGTCTTTGTTGTTGTTGTTGTTAGTCATGGGGTTTGAACTCTGGGCCTAGGTGCTGTCCCTCAATTCTTCTGTTCAAGGTGAGTGCTCTACCGCTTAAGCCACAGCATTACTTACGGTTTTCTAGTGGTTTATTGGAAATAAGAATCTCACAGACTTTCCTGCCCGGGCTGGCTTTGAACTGCAATCCTCAGATCTCAATCTCCTGAGAAGCTAGGATTATAGGCATGTACCACCAGCGCCCATCAAGAAATTTCTATAATAATCTCAGTGCTGCTTTCCTAGAAGCTCCATGCTTTTTAGGCTAAAAATACTAATTATATAATCAAGCTCACATAATGTGTTTTTTGTTTGCTTCTTTGTTTTGGTGCTAGTACTAGAACTTGAACTCAGGGCATGGGCACTGTCCTTTAGCTTTTTTCACTGAAGGATGGTGTCCTACCACTTAAACCATACCTCCACTTATGCCTTTTTGGTGATTAATTGAAGAAAAGAATCTCTCTCACAGACTTTCCTGCCCAGCCTGGCTTCACACTGAAATCTTCAGATCTCAGCCTCTTCAGTAGCTAGGCTAACAGTGTGAGCTACTCACGAGCAACCACAACTTATTTTTCATAATAATTAGAAATAATTCAGTCATTCATTATTAAGTGTGATGTTAGATATTGTTTAGACACTGGCCTCAGAGGTCAGGAGAATTGATCAAAAAAATGAACGAAAAATGCCAATTAGATTTTGTCTTAGGATACAAAATGTATGTTTTATAAAATTCTTAAAATAAAATTAACAATACTAGGGGTTGGGAAGGTGGCTCAGTGGTAGAGCGCTTGCCTTGCATGCATAAGGCCCTGAGTTCAATTCCTCAGTACCACATAAGCAAAAAGAAAAAAGCCGGAAGTGGCGCTGTGGTTCAAGTGGCCTTGAGCTGAAGAGATGAGGGACAGCGCCCAGGCCCAAAGTTCAGGCCCCACGACCGGACCCCCCCCCCCCAAAAAAAATTAACAATACTAGATACATATATCAATTTCTAAAAATCATTTATTTTGCTTTACCTTCATCAAAAAACTTTATTGAGGCAGGCAAAATGTCTCAATAAAATCACACAAAAAAATAAACTAAAGCCAGGTGCTGGTGGCTCACATCAGTAATCCTAGGTACTCAGGAGGCTGAGATCTGAGGATCATATTTCAAAGCCAGCCCAGGCAGGAAAAGTCCATGAGACTCTTATCTCCAATTAACCACCAGAAAACCGGAAGTGGCTCAAGTGCTAGAGCGCTTGCCTTGAGCTGAAGAGTTGAGGGACAGCGCCCAGGCCCAGAGTTCAAGCCTCACAACCTACCCCCCAAAAAAAAGAAAATAAGAGGAAGTGGCACTGTAGCTCAAGTGGTGGAATACTCACCTTGAGCTAAAGAGCTGAGGGACAGCGCCCAATCCCAGAGTTCAAGCCCCACGACCAACCAAAAAAAAAAAAAACTAAAATAAGAAAAAACAAATTTTCAAGGATTTTTAACAAGTCTGTGTTCTTTCAAAATAATTCTAGCTAGGCACTGGTCACTCACACCAGTAATCCCAGCTACTCAGAAGGCTGAAATCTAAGGACCACAGCTCAAAGCCAGCACAGGCAAGAATGTCAATGAGATTCTTTTTTTTTTAATATATAATTGTTATTGGTTATTTTCCCTTTTATTTTATTAATTTTATGTTTCTGTGGTACTAAAGAATCGAACCCAAGGCTTTATGCATGCTAGGCAAGCTCTCTACCACTAAGCCACATTCCCAGCTGTCAGTGAGATTCTTATCTACAATTAACCCCTAGAAAACCAGAAGTGAAGGGGTGGCTTAAAGTGGTAGAGCACCTAACCTTGAGCAAAAGAGCTCAATTACCATCAGCAAACCAAATTTTGTTAAGTAATTTCAAAGAAATTGGGTAAACATACATCATCAATTATACTAATCAAATTTATCTAAATTAGGCCTTAGAACAGTAATAATTAAGATTCCAAATACAGACAGCAATAGACTCAGACAAAATGTAGCTTACCTTGACAGGCAGATGAACTGTCATTTCTTTCCGTAGCTGATGTGTCCAAATTGTTGAAATGCGGTGAAGTTCCTGGGCTCATGTCACTGTGTATAGAACTCTTTGAGTGGCATGAACAGCAGCATGACAGTGGTGCTTCAGCTTTCTTACTCATGCCTTCATCCACTGGCTTCCCTAAAAATCAAACAACCTCTGTAACACAGCTAATGAAACAAACACCTGTGGTCTTCTGTGGGTAGGGTGAGCAACTACCTCAGTTCACTGAGGATTGGAAGGTTTTCCTGGCAAACCTGGACTGGTTGGTTACCTCACCTACAGCATTAAATTAGGACAGGAGGGAAACATTCATACCACAAACACCAATAGAAGTCATTATCAACTTATATAATCTACAGCAATTTAGTAACAACCAAAAACTAATAATGCAATAAAAGCCCAAGCACTCAAATATTCATTTATACTGAGATGTATTTAAAATTCAAGCAGGAATGACTGAAACAAATACATTTATGTACATTCTGAATTGCTATTTACCTAGATGAAGAAAGTAAAAGTTAATATCTGAAATAATGTAAACACCTGAGGGTTACAGTTTATACCTTACACTTCTATTTCAAATGGAAACATGTTCAGATAAACTAAGTCCACCTTACTCACAGCTTTATTACACACAGATTTGAGCAAATGAAGTAAAAAATAATAAATTAAAAATTAGCTGGAGAAGGTGGTTCATCTCAGCTACTCGAAGTGTGGACTTGGAGGATTAGAGTTTCAGGCTAGACAGGCAAAATATTAGCAAGACTTCACCTCAACAAATAAGCTAAAAGTGGTGGTACACACCTGTGGTCAGAAGACCGTAGATAGAAGGAACTTGCTCCAGGATATCCCAATGTAAAAACTAGAGACCACATCTAAATTGTAATCTTAAGAGTAAAAGGGAAGAAATTTCAAAAGCAATTTATATTCCTGTGTACACGCTCCATCGCTCAGTTGATAGGAAGAAGCTGTAAGTCAGTTCTGCATTATCATCAGGTGTTTAAATTGTTAGTTGTGTTTAAATTGTTGTATGAATTTTCTTGCCCTTAATTCTGTGAATATATGCCACCTAAAAATCCTAAAAGCAAAATGGTACCCAAAAAGCAAAGTAAAAATTACAGCAATCCTCCCAAGCCAGAAAGGGCATGTGATGTGCTTAAATGATAAGGTGACCATTTTTGACTAGTTGAAAGGTGGTATGTCTGGGGAAAATAAATATAACCCCAGTACGGCACTGAACTCTGTACCGGAGCATTCAGTTTCTCAATAACAGTCCCCTTGGAGCCATACACGCACAGAAACCAAGAGTCTACAGTACATATACCAAATTATATTTTAAGGACAACATTTAAATTTAATTAAAGGTACTCTTTGTTTTTTGCCAGTCCTGAGGCTTAAACTCAGGGACTAGGCACTGACCTTAAGCTTCTTTTGCTCAAATGCTAGCACTCAACCACGTGGGCCACAGTGCCACTTCTGGCTTTTTTTTTTGTTTATGTGGTACTAAGGAATCGAACCCAGGGCTTCATGCATGCTAGGCAAGCACTCTACCACTAAGCCACATTCCCAGACCTAAAGTTACTTTTGATTCCTAAATATAATACAGAAGATTAACAGTATGCTTCACAAGGGACACACAAAAGCTAGTAAATACTTACTTTTGAAAAAAAAAGGTCTCATCAATGACGCAAACATTTCCTTTTAGGGCTGGGGTGTGGATCCGGTGGTAGATCACTTACCTGGCCAGCACCAGAGCCTGAGTCCAAACCCCATCACCAAGAGGAAAAAATAATCTCTTAAAGAAAGTTGGGATAGCCGGGCACCCTTGGCTCACACCTGTAATCCTAGCTACTCAGGAAGCTGAGATCTGAGGATTATGAGTCCTTGCAAGTCTGGGCAGGAAGGTCCCTGAGACTCTTATCTCCAATTAGCCACCAGAAAACCAGAAGTTGTGCTGTGGGTGAAAGTGGTAGAACACTAGCCTTGAGCAAAAAAGCTCAGGAACAGCATCCAGGCCCTCAGAAGAAGGGGAGTAGGGGAAGGGAAGGGAGGGGAAGGGAAGGGAAGGGAAGGGAGAGGAAGGGAGGGGAGGGGAGCTGTGGAGAAGAGGGAGAGGAGAAGGGGAAGAGGGAGAGGGGGAGGGGGAGGGGAAGAGGGGAAGACGGGGAGGAGAGGGAGAGGGGAGAAGGAGAATCACCTCAACCTCTGCTATCAGGACTGGCTTGGAAGTTTTCTTATCTATTCCACATTTGAATGTTATCAGAAAGGGTCAGATAAACAAATGTGTTAAAGGAGTTACTCAATAAAATCAACACCACATCTCTGGTATCTTTTACATATAAATTATCATCTAATTATTTCCGTAATAGTTCTAAGCACTGACAATGTTCTTATACAGAGGTAAAGACTAAATTGCACTAATATATTTTTAAATTTACTTTATTGCTATATAAAGGTGCTGTACAGAGGGATTTCCTTTCATGCAGTGTCTTCCGGTCCCTCTCACTCTCTCCCAGTCCCTCCTTCCCATCACCACCCGTGAGCTGCACAGCTCACAGTGACCAGTGAGCTCCACTGCTGCACTTTCTCACCCTTTTTCTCTGGAGTTTTGTACCCTCCCCCACCCTCATAGTATGTTTTAAGATTAAGCATATTCTGCTGTACTGAACTTTTTGGAAAGGTTCTCATAAAGAACTGTCTTTAGGGCTAGTAGTCTCTTTAAAGAGTGTTTGCCTAGCATGTATGAAGGTCTGAAATATTAATCCTCTGATGAGCAAATGCAGCAGTGGTATGCACTAGACACTATGTTGAAAATTAACTATACAAGTTGTGAGTGGGGATGGGAGAGAAAAACTGGGAGGGAACGAGGGAGGGGGTAACATTGTCCAAAAAGAAATGTACCCATTACCTGACTTATGTCACTGTAACCCCTTTGTACATCACCTTTATAACAATTTTTTTTTTAAAGAAACATCTTATAAGACAATGTTCAGACTGGGATGTAGCTCCAAGGAGAAGCATTTTTCTGGGATGTTCAAGACCCTGCAGCACATGAGCCCCAACACGATCAAAAGGAGAAAGAATAGCTAGAACATGGTTGAACTAGTCTGGATCAAGAGTACTTTAATTTTTTTCAGGTCCCATTAAGCAGCCTGAAGATGTGAAACAACTACTTACCTGTAAGAGACTGTTGCCAGGCTAAAGCAGAACAAAGCAAGGCTAAGCTTTTCCCGCTGCCTGTGGGGCTCTCCAACAAACAGTGCTGCCTACTGTTTAGTCCTCTGACAATCTATGAACACAGAAACCAGTATAAAAAAAATCAGTAATTACTCGCTTTATTAGGTCTCTCCCTATAAGTACAACTGAATCAGCAAGGAATTGTGCGGGGGGCTGCACTCCAGAAGCCACAGTGACAGCATACATAAGAAACTAGAATTTAGTTACATCAAGACTTTATTTTTTCACACTTCTCCCTAAGATCATGTTGGATTTAAAAGCCTATCAACCACCAGTGGAGAAATGAGAAAAGCAACTTGTAATTTAACTATGCAAACAACCCATCATTTCTGTAAAACTGTAATACTCTGAGACCTATGACTATCTATGATGAAAACTTAATGAGAGTCACTATTTAGAGGAGTACAAAAAAATTAACAATTTGTATTAAAGGGGAACAGGCCAACTCCAGGAAGCCCAGTTCAAAACCTTTCCCAATATAAGGAAATATGTAAGAAAAGTCATAGCAGAATTATTCACTAAATCCAAGAGAATGTAAACAATCTAAATGCCCAGTAGGAAAAAGGATAGGTAAATTAACCAATTTCTGAAGAAAAAAAGGCTAACGTCATCTCTTTGGACAAAGTTTAAACTCTATATTGCTTATAGATATACCTATATGTAGTAAAAGTATAGAAATATAGTTGGGAAAGAAAGAAAAGACTACATTCAGGATACTACTAATCTGATAGAGTACATTTTTTGGTTTCGAGAGCTTTTTTTGTGCTGGTACTGGGGCTTGAACTCAGGGCTTAGGTGCTATTCCTAAGCTTTTTCACTCAAGACTGGTGTTTTGCTTTTGGTGTTTTGCTGGCTAAATGAAGGTAAGAGTCCCATGAAATGTCTTGCCCAGGCTGGTTTTGAACTGTGATCTTCAGCTCTCAGGCTCTTGTGTAACTAGGATTACAGGTGTGAATCACCAGCACCCATCTAAAATACTAAGACTGAATGATTATAAAGTCCCTCTTCTCAATTGTATATACTGATTTCTGTATGATTAAAATACAATCTTCTCTTCATAACCATGGGCTCTATCTGTGGTTATAACCAAATGCAAATTGAAAATAGTCAGAAAAAGAAAACTTGTATCTGTACTAAATATGTACATATCTTTTTTCTTGTTATTACTCTCTAAACAACTATTATATAGTTGTAAATAGTACAGCAATTATTTATATTGTATTAGTTATGTTAAGCAATCAAGAGATAATATAGGATATACAAGTAGAATATATATGTGTGCATATGTGAGTGCAAATAGTGTGTACCATTTTATACTAGAGATCTATAGATTTGCAGATTTTGGTATCTAAGGTGGGTCCTGGAACTAATCCTTACAGGTACCACAGGTACAGAGGGATTCATTAAAGCTCCAAATGAGGGCTGGGAAGGTGGCTCAGTGGTAGAGCACTTGCCTTGCATGCATGAGGCCCTGGGTTCGATTCCTCAGCACCACATAAGCAAAAAGAAAAAAGCCAGAAGTGGCACTGTGGCTCAAGTGGTAGAGCGCTAGCCTTGAGCTGAAGAGCTGAGGGATAGCACCCAGGCCCAGAGTTCAGGCCCCACGACTAGACCAAAAAAGAAAACACAAAAACAAAAATAAAGTTCCAAATGAGCTAATTTGTCAAATGCTATTCCTATGGAGAGAGATTAGTTGTGACCAATTACTTTGCTAAAGGCTTGATGGTCTTCCAAATGAATCTAGCAAATAGTCTCAATCCATTTGCAATGTGGGCCTATGGATAATGTATAGTAACGAAGTACATGTTAGGAATCATAAGCATCTGTATCCTAGTAAAGAATAAACTGCTGAAAATTACTTACAGAATTCATCAAAGCAAGCTGTGATGGGTAAGCTTTACAAGGAAAGATAATTTTCACTCCACCAATTGTGTATTCACAATTCATTGAAGACATTCTGCTTTCTTTACTTCAGACTCCAAGCTGCAAAAGAAATGAAAATCATCATTGAAACAATGTAATCCAAAGAAAGCCAGACACCCAACAATAAGATGAAAGTCTGGAAAAAAATATTGGAATTATCTGGGAACTGGTAGCTCATGCCTGTAATCCTAGCTACTCAGGAGATTAAGATCTAAGGATCAATACCAAAAGACGAAAAGAAAGAGAGAAAGAGAAAAAAGGAAGGAAGGAAAAAAAGGAAGGGAGGAGGGAAAGAAAAAAAATATGAGTAAGTATATAAACAAAACAAAACAAAACAAACAGGCTGGGAATGCGGCTTAGTGGTAAAATGCTTGCCTAGCATGCATGAGGCCTTGGGTTCCTCAGTATCACATAAACAAAATACAATAATAATAAATTGGAAAAAATAGAAGCAAAAAAATTTCCCAGCCAGTGCAGGTGACTCATCCTATAATCTTAACTACTCAGTGGGGCTGAGATCTAAGGATCCCTATTAGAACCAGTCCAGGCAGGAAAGTCTATGAGACTTATCTACAATTAAGCACCAAAAAGCCAGAAGTGGACCTCTGGCTCAAGTGGTAGAATGTTAGCCATAAACAAAAAAAAAGTTCAAGGACAGTACCCTGGTCCTAAATCCTGACTTCGAGCCCCAGTAGCAACACGTACACACAAAAATAAATAAAAATTTCCTAGTCTAGCTGGGCAATGGTGGCTCAGGCCTGTAATCCTAGCTATTCAGGAGGCTGAGATCTGAAGATCTCAGTTCAAAGCCAGCCCAGGCAGCAAAGTCTGTGAGACTCATTTCCAATTAACTACCAGAAAACTGGAAGTGATGCTGTGGCTCAAAGTGGTAGAGCACTAACCTTGAGCAAAAAAGCTCAGGGACAGCACCAGGCCCCCAATTCAAGCCCCACCACTTACAAAGACAAAAAAAAAAAATCGTAGTCTAATAAAGACATCAAAGTAGTCAAAATGCATTGCATTTCTTCCGTCTAAGAAATCTGGACTTAAATCTCTTGCTCCACCCCGATTTAGCTGTGGCACTGGGGGTATGAATTTTTCATGACTTTAAGTGTCCTCATACATGTAACAAGAATAGAAACAATACCCCAATAGAACCATAATAAAGATTATGCAAAATGATGTGCAAACACACCAAAAGATTAAGCAAGAGCTCTTATAATAATCCAGATGGGGCAATCAATCTACAGAACACAAATAAGTTCCTAAGGCAACTTTCTCCAGTCCCACAGCAGCACACTTTTCCTTCTTTTCTGCACACTCCCCTTGCCCATCTGCAGTGCGCCAAGCTATAGATCATGAGTCAGGAAGCACAGGTTCTCCCTTAGGTTTTAAAAAGGTTCACATAATATTACCTTTGTCTTTTCATTTCTCTAGTCTAAAAATATTATCTATAATTATCCCTAATTTATAAACTGACTTGGGTGCCAGTGGTTTATGACTATAATCCTAGTTACTCAGGAGGCTGAGGCCCAGCAGTTGGTGTTTCAGAGACAGCCCACACTGAAGTCTGTTGGTCTCCATCTCCAATTAACCAGAAAAAGGCAAGGCTATAGATGTGGCTCAAGTGGTAGAATGCAGCTGTAAGCATAAAAGTTTAAGTGGGAGTGTTAGGCCCAGAGTTCAAACCCCAGAACCATAATGTCCCCTCCAAAAAAAATTTTTTTAACTGTCCTCAGGGGAAAATATCTAAGCACATGATAGGTTCTCAGTAATTATTTAAAAGTCAGAATAATGGAAAGAAGATGAACTCTGAGAGTAAATCTAAAATCTAATTCCACTGTGTGAATCACTTAAACCATCAGACTTTGTTTCTTCCTATAGGCAATTAAGATAATACAATGTAGCTAACAGGGTTTAAATGACAATTAGCCAAGACAGAATGTGCCTAACCCCAAATGGGACACCAAAGTGATTCACTGTGGTCTTCACTTCTAAATCACTTTCCTTAATCATCCATGGTTAGGATTCAGACCTTGACCTCAGAAGAATACATGCGCAAGTTTCTTTGCATGGTTGCATTTTTCTGAGAAGTCCAGATCTCTCTTCCTATAATTCCTCAGGAAATCAGAAAGAGAAATATCTTTTCATCAACTCAGTAAATCTGGCAATAGTGAAAAACATGATGACTTCAATCTAGGACTGGAAATGGTTAAAATAGTTTTTCAATAGGTTACAAATCAGTTCATCCACAGCATGTGTGTTCCAAAAGAGAGGCACTATTGAAAGGTATTTTCCATTACTAAAAGTGATCCTACCTAGGGGGAAAGAAAAGGAAAGGCTGACATTGTCCAAAAACAATGAATGTACTCATTATCTGACTTGTGACATCTTAATAATAACAATTTTTTCTAATGATTCTCCCCATGATTTGTAGTGCAAAGTTCTGAGAATGTGGCTTGGTGAAATCTAACCTCAGCCATGTGATGACAAGATTACGCGGGTAATCTTGAACTCATGGCTTGGGGTAGTCCCTAGCACTCCACCACTTTGAGCCACAGCTCCCAATTCCAGTTTTCTGGTAGTTAATTGGAGATAATTGGAGATTAGAGTCTCATGGCCTCCCTTTTTGGCCAGGGTTGCCTTTGAACCCAGATCTCTCAGATCTCTGTCTCCAGAGTAATTAGGATTCCAGAGAGCCTCCAGCCAGGGGCTTTAGTTACTCTCTTTCAACAGCTGCCATTTAACAATGCAGTTTATGAATACAATGTATCTTGATCAGTGTCACCCCTTTCAACATTTCCACCAGCCTTTGAGACATCCCTTCCCTTACTTTTCTTATTTTTCTTAATTTTGGAATAACAATAGATTCTTGACAGAGTTCTCTCTCCCTTCCCCCACTTCATTCTCTCCCCTTGACTCCACCCCCCCCTTGCAGGTACCTATTTTCAGTGCTTGTTTGTTTGTTTTTAATTGTTTTTATTCGTATGATAAAGGTGATATATAAAGAGGTTACAGTTACTTAAGTCAGGTAATAAGTACATTTCTTTTTGGACAGTGTCACCCCTTCCCTAGCTCCCCATTTTTCCATCCCATCCCCACCCACAACATAGTGTCTAGTGAGTACCACGGCTGCATTTGTTCACCCTTTGTCCCTCCAAGGGTGCTTATTTTGTTGGGTTTTGACTTTGTCTTTCTAAGGAATTAACACTATTTGAGACCGTCTAACCACTCTGGAGGCTGAAAATCTGATGACCAAAGTTTAAAGCCAGCCGGGGCAGGAAAGTCCATGAGACTCTTCTATCCAGTGAACGAGCAAAATGCCAGAAGTGGAACTGTGGCTCCAAGTGTTAGAACGGCAGCTTTGAATGGAAGAAGCTCAGGGGCAGCGCCCAGGTCCTGAGTTCAAGACTTCGTCTGTGTCTCACACCCTCTCTCTCCCTCCTGACGTTCTCTCCCGGCCCATGCCTGGCCACAGCAGGGTTCTGCATCTCAGAATGTAGAAGCATCCCGGTCCAAGGCCTAAAAGAGCAACTCCCACCTGTCTCCGCCCATCCGATTTTCTCCCCTCTGCCAAAGTCACTTTCAGACCAGGCCCGGCTCCCCCTCCCCCACTATTCCCGTCCCCCTCGCACCGCCCCCCCCCCCCAGGCCCGGGTGCGGGGTCCAGGCCCACGGCTTGCAGGGCCCGGCGCACCCGCCGCCGGCACGCCAGGGATTTCCCACTTGCCTGTGCCCGGCGGGAACTGAAGCAGCGCGGACGGGGCGCCGACGACCAGACCCGGAGAGGAAGGGGCGGGAATGAAATGCTGGCTTCTGAGAGGAGAAAGTGCAGATCGATTCCCAGCGGAGGAGAAAGGAAACAGGTCGTAATCACCCCGCTTCTCCTCGCGGGGCGCCGCCACGGCCGCCACCACCACAGGTGGGTTTCACAGCGCCTCGCGATTCCCCGCCGCCGCAGCTGCGCTCTTCCGCCCCTCACAACGCAGTCCCAAACGAATTCCCGCCTCCCACCCCTCGGCTCCCAGCGCCCAATCGCCGAGCGAGTTCAAGCAACCAATCAACTGTGAAGACCAGGAAGCAAGCAGCCAATCGTAGCCCGCAGTTAGCGCGCCGACACCCAACGGGGGCCTCCGAAATAAAAGCGGACGGCCACACCGGAAAGCAGCCACTCATTGGGCACGCGCGAGGCGAGCTCTGAGTGTTTGCTTAAAGGAAAGGTGTCTTCTCCCTGTCACTTGAAACTGGGGAACACTCAGGCAGCCCGGAGACCCGCAGGCTTTTGAAGTACTTAGACAACAGAAGAGGAAACTGCTTTAAGCTGTGCCAAGGTCTCTCTGAACATTCGGCAGTGCCACTCTAAACTTCCCAGATCTCTAGTACTCAAGATCTTGGAAGGGAAAAAGAAACAAAAAACAAAAACTGAGCTACGCTAGCAACTACTTATGTAATAACCAGCGGGGCCCCGATAAGCTTGGAGCTTTGGAGGTCTGAGGTTGGAGGTTTGCAGACTAATTGTTGGTTTGCAGACCAGCTAATAAAGGTCGGGGCTGCCCACTCGAGGCTTGGAGGTTTGGTGGTCGAGGCTGCTGTTGGTCCTGGGTATCGAGCCCAGGACAAGCAGTGGCAGACCCCCTTTCTGGTGTAAATAGTGTAAATTTTTTTTGTCACCTTAACCATGCCTTGATGGACTGTCTCTGTCTTTGGAGGTAATAATTCTTACAAGAAATAAACCAGGCTGGGAATGTGGCTTAGTGGTAGAGTGCTTGCCTAGCATGCATGAAGCCCTGGGTTTGATTCTTTGATACCACATCAACAGAAAAAGCCGAAAATGGGCACTGTGGCTCAAGTGGTAGAGTGCTTGCCTTGAGCAGAAGAAGTTCAGGGACAGTGCCCAGGCCCTGAGTTCAAGCTCCAAGACTGGCAAAAAAAAAAAAAAAAATTAAGTGGAGGGGAAGAAGACTCCACATTGTGTTTTAGGAATTTGTAATGTGCTAATTCAGTATTTGGATAAGCAAAGATGAAAGAGCGATTTACTTTCACAAACATGGAATAATTTATTTTAAAAAACCAAATCCTTAAAAAATACAGGTATAACTAATTTGCTTTCACTCTTCATTTGGGTAGTACTGGGCATGAGACCCAGAGTTTTTACATTACCTACTAGGTAAAATGCTCTACCACAGGGGCTGGGAAGGTGGCTCAGTGGTAGAGTGCTTGTCTTCCATGTACGAGTTCCTGGATTCGATTCCTCAGTACCACATATGCAGAAAAAGCTGCAAGTGGTGCTATGGCTCAAGTGATAGAGTGCTAGCTTTGAACTGAAGAGCTCAGGGACAGTGCCCAGGCCAAGTTTAAGGCCCATGACCACCAACAACAACAAAAAAGAAATATTTTAAAGTAAAAAAGAAAACAAACTGCTCTGCCACTGAGCTACAGCCTGACATTACCACTTTTTATTTATTTTTGGTGCCAGTCCTAGCTGGGCTTTTTTTTTGTTCAAGGCTCTACTACTTGAGCCCAGCTTCACTTCTGGCCTTTTGTAGTAAATTGGGAGTCTCGCAGACTTTCCTGGCCGGGCTGGCTTTGAACCACAATCCTCAGATCTCAGCCTCCAGAGTAGCTAGGATTACAGGTGTGAGCCACCAGTGCCCGGCTCCCTATTAACTTTTAAAAATATCTGATCTTTAAAATAACTGCTCCAGAATAATTAGTCTCACTCTCCTCACCTAAATCCTTATGGATGATAGACATGTACCACCATGCCACCTTTTTTTGCTGAGATGGGGTGGGGGGGAGGGGTCTCCTCAACTTTCGTCTTCCTGGCTTGAAACCAGCAAAGCCCTAAGGGAACCAGAACTTCAGCAGTTCAGACCTTTTATTAATTTATTCATTCATTTGTTTGTTTTTTTACTAGTCCTGGGGCTTGAACTCAGGGCCTGAGCATTGTCACTGAGCTTCTTTTGATCAAGGGTAGCACTCTACCACTTAAGCCACAGTGCCACTTGCAGCTTTTCCTATTTATGTAATCCTAAGGAATCAAATCTAGGGCTTCATGCATGATAGGCAAGCACTGCACTACTAAGTCATATTCTTAGGCCAGTTCAGACTTTTAAATTCTTACTGCCATGTCTTACTGGCATAACAGAAAGAGGTACTTCTAAATTCTGGAACTGGACAGTCCTGAATTGCAGTCTATTGTATGGTTCCTTTCAGGGCACAGCAGTGAAGTAAAACACAAAAAAATTACAAGTCCATTTGAGAAACAATATGAATGTTTATAAATCAATATTCAAAATAGGTGCACACATCTGTTTTCACTTGAATAAAAAAAAATCACATTATGACAAATTTTATAACCTTAACTTAAAATACAGGAATATTAACAGTTACTAATGTATTTACATTTTATTTACATCATCAACAAATCTGATGAAAAACAGCATGTTATTATTTTAACACAGCAGGTTTTGACCAGTCTTTGAAAGTTGATCAAAGAAATGTGTACCATTAGAAAACATACTTCTTCAACCTTTTCTGAACTCCTAGTGGATACCTATTCAAAGAAAATATTCCAAGGCCTCAGTTTAAAAACAAAACAGGTGCAAGTTGTATTTGATCTTAAGAGACTACAAAACTGCCTTGTTTAAAAATATGAAAATTCTTATGCTATTTTTAAGCATATTCTTTTAGTCTTCACATCAAAATTACTTAATTGAACATTATGTATCTAATAAAAAGTTATAAATATTCTGTCACACATGAAAATATGCACTTCATGATTGGAAACAGATACAAACCAGTTTTTATAGAATACCCTTATATGAGGTAGGGCCAGTAGAACCCCAGTTTATAAAGAAGGAAAATAAGATAGAACTATTTGCTAGTGAAGGGCTAAAGTGAAAATTTCTTTAAAAACTTTCTTATTAGCTTGCCTTTACAGATGAAGAGGTCTATTTGGAGTGGAAGGGTGGGAAGGAACGTGACAGGTATATCTCAGAAAGCAAAGAGAAGTACCTTCTACATTGGATGCTAAAAAAAAAAAAAAAAAGGATGATGGGTTGGATGCAATGTCTCATGCCTGGAATCCTAGCTACTCAGGAGACTGAAATCTGAACATCATGGCTTAAAGCCAGCCCAGACAGGACAGTGCATGAAACTCTGATCTCCAATTAACCACCAAAAAGCAGGCAGTGGAGCTGTGGCTCAAGTGGTTAAGCACTAGCCTTGAGCACAAAAGCTCAGGGACTGAGTTCAAGCCCCAGATGGCACAAAAAAGAAAAAGGAAAAAAAAAAAAAAAAAAGATAGGTTACCTGAACATAGGATTGCAAAATCCTTCAAAATACAGCATTTCCCACATTTTAGTTTTTCCTGAGGTTCAGACACTGTGCATATTTTCTTATTCAAAGATCTCTCCAAAGTAAAATGTGAATTATAATCCTGATATAAACTGAGCTATCTAATCCAGTAGGTTTTATTGCTCTAAACTTCATTTATTTGATACACACTCCACCCTCTGAGAATGAGATAAGTTAATAAGCCATTATAAAAATAAATCTTAAAAAATAAAATAAATGAGCCTTCCTTTCAGGTTCTTCACAAAGATGTTTTTGAAGATACTTTTAAACCAGTATCTTAAATTCCAAAGTATTCAAGTATCTCTTTAAACATATGGCTTCAGATTTTAGTAAAAATTGAAGCTTATATCTGAAATATTTAAACCTTATCTGTAATTCCATGGAAATCATTAACAAAAGCTATTTTTTAAGACTTCTCAATAATATTTCTTGAGAATTAGAGTTCCAACCTGCATCACTATTACTTGCACTACAAGTAGTTTGACATTTTATTTGGGTAACTCCTAATTTCTTTCTGACTTTTCCCTTTCTTTGATCCTTTTTCTCTCTCCTATCGTTCTATCTTTGTGGAAATCTACTAAAACCTCACAGTCAAAAACTGCAACTGTCCACACAATCATTTTTATAAGGAATTAAATTAAAGGCATGACAGTCTTTCTTCATTTCAATAGCAAAGCAAAAGGCTAAATTCCTTTTTCAGTAACAAGGTCCTTAAATGTGCTCCCAATTGGGCAGGGGAGCAGGGGAGGAAACCTGGGTGCTACAATATAAACATACCAGGAGAGGAGATCCAAAGATATGTCAATCAAATGCAAGTAAGCATAATTCCTAGATGGTTTTCAACGGTATTCATATTGAACTGAACCATTTCACCAGTTCCAAAAATGTTCCATTACTGTCCCATTCAGTTTAGAGTTACTTTAAGATGCAGATTTGTGCTGGGTACAGGTAGCAAACAGCTTCATTTCACTGTTGTTGCTTTAATTTTTTTTTCAAATTCCACTAACACTCATGTTTATTATTTCAATTATTGTGCTTTCAATACAATGACAGAGCTGTACATCAGGATCCATGCTTCCAGCATCCCTGGATCCATTTTTGTAAGACGACACTTTACAGATTTGAGACCATCCACTTGGTTTTTCCTTTATTTGTTGAAGACCTAAAATAATAAGAAGGACAAAGCAAGAAATAGTGAAAAGAATTCTGTCTTTAAGATATTAAGATAATTCTTGAAAATGAGTTACCACTTACGTGTAATAATTGGGTCAATGTCTCTTGTCTGAGTGGCAACGTCAGAGGCACACACTTGCCCTATTTGAATCAGCAAAGACATAATATCCTCATACAGCGGAGGAAACGCTCTACAAAAAGAGACCAAACTCGGGAGAGTTGGCATGAAAAAAGCATACCGCTTAGCCTGTGTTAAAACTGTTGGAAAGAAACGAAACAGACATTTTACATTGGAAATATAAATTCAATATAGCAGCCTGTACAATGAACTAGTACCATATTCTGTTGTACGTTTTCTAAGATCTAGCCCATGCCTGCCTTAGGCAGCTCAATCACCCAAGGAATGAGCATCTCATTATGCTCAAAAATAATTGTGAAATAAATGTGAAACATTTGAAAAAACTATAAAACTGAGCATTCATCATCTGAACATGTACAGTAAATCAGAATTTGTTTCTTGCTGACAATTACATTCTTTCATTGAAGTTGCAAAATTTTATGAATTAAGAAGGTATTATGAGAATTTCATGAATTAAGAAGGTACTATTATGACACTTTTCATAAAAATACTCTTAAATAAAATTTAAATAGGTTAAAAAAAACATATTCCAGGCCACACAGCAGGATGTGGTAAAGCTGGGTGATATAAACTCTTAATAACCACAAATTATTACAACATAAAGTAAATGCAATAGAAGAAAAAATTGAACAATATTATGGGAATATTGAGAGTTATAAATTAACTAAGCCTTAACTTTAAAGGATTGAACATTGTTATCATTTATATATCATATGTGGTTTGTGTGTGTGTGTGTGTGGTTTGGTTTTTATGGTGCTAGTAATCAAGCCTAGCACCTTTACATATGCTTGTCAAGTGCTCTACCACTATGGTGGTTAAAATGTTAGCAAACACTGTAGAACTTAACTAATATTTTATGTCTTCTTTATATATATAATTATATATCATATACAGTAATAGATGATATATAATTATATTTTTCTAGAACTCTGGACATTTGTAATAAATCATAATTTCTTTCCTTCTGATAATTATTTTCTCTCATCTTCTACACTATCACTTTGGTTTTTTTTTAGCAAGAACATATTTTAGTAAAACAAGGTTAAAGGAGAAATAAATGGAGAAGGGAAATATTTCCCACTCTTCATGAAGGAAATAAGAATTAAAGACTACCCACACATTTAAATACAGAAATTTCCAAAACAATAATAATTCAAAAGATGCTCTAAGTTAAACTACTAGTAATGTATGTTATGTCAGACTGTCCCATAGCAACATAAAAAACTAAATCACTGAACTCAAAATATACGTACTAATTTGTGGTACTAGTTGTTGCTATTGATGCTGATTGGCTACACACCTGTTAGCAACGTTCCCATGACATTGACAGCTAAGCGAGCCACACTAAGTGACTTCGGTAATGCGTACTGGATACATAAGTGAGAAAGCAACTGGATAGCAAATATCTGCAATACAGAACCAAAACAATACATAGTCCACAAGAAAATATGAAATACTACCAATTATAAGATGCTTTATGTAACTTGCAAGACTCAGGAGAGATCAGAATTCTCTCAAAGCTCCAGAATGCTCATTACCTGTTTCTCAAGTTCTGGCTGTGCAATAAGCTCAGGGATAAAATCCAGACAGATGTGCATAGATGGGATACCTGCGACTGTCAGAGGCAAAAGCTCACAGGGGTAACCCTGGCTCAACGAGAAAGGAGGGAACAGGTTAGAAATAAAGCCGATACAGATGAAAACATAAATGTTTCACTTCCTTTCGGTAAGAACTGCTCAGAAAGTTACCAGTTACGGTGTAAGAACATGTATCTTGGCATTTCACTTTTCTGGAGGAGGAGGAGGAGGAGGAGGACTACAAGGAGGACGATGACGAGGACAACAAGGAGGAGGACAACTAGGAAGAAGAAGAAGCAGAAGAAGATGATGAAGAAGAAGGAGGAGGAGGAGGAAGAAGAAGAAGGGAGAAAGAGGAGAAGAAGAAGGGAGAGAGAGGAAAAGAAGGAGGAGAAGGGGAAGAGGAGGAGGAGGAGGAGGTGGGGAGGAGGGGGAGGAGGAGGAAGGGGGGAGGAAAAGGGGAGAGGAGAAGAAGGAGGGGAAGGAGGAGAAGGAGGGGGAGGAGGAGGAGGAGGAAGAAGAGGAGGCGAAAGAGAAAGAAGGAGGAGGAGGAGGAATTATTTGAACCCTATATTATACTGAGAAAAAAAAAACCTTAAAACTTTGGATCTTTCCCCATTTTTCCAAAGACTATGATCACGTGTGTATCTCTCTTTTTAAAATATTAGTCCACGGGCTGGGAAGGTGGCTCAGTGGTAGAGCGCTTGCCTTGCATGCACGAGGCCCTGGGTTCGATTCCTCAGCACCACATAAGCAGAAAAAGCCGGAAGTGGTGCTATGGCTCAAGTGGTAGCATGCTAGCCTTGAGCTGAAGAGCTGAGGGGCAGCGCCCAGGCCAGAGTTCAGGCCCCACGACCGGACCCCAAAAAAAAAAATAAATAAATAAAATAAAATATTAGTCCATATTAGTTTAGTATACAAAACTCCCAAGAAAAGTAAAGTTCAACCACAAATCAGCACTCTTTGAAAACACACCTGAAAGTGCACAAGCTTAGCAATATTGGGATCTGCGATGTACATCTGGTGCAACAGACAACAGATAAGGCACTGAACTTCTCGAAGGTTGCACAGCAAGTTGTCTTCTCCTTCTTCCAATTCTTTATTTGGCATGCTGGTGGTAATAACACTTTGAACACTCCTGAGCAAGCTGTCTGGACTGACACCTTTTGCTTTTTCCTCTTCTGTAGGCAAACAAATCTCTAAGAGAATCTGGACAGCTGCACTATCCTACAACAAAAATAGAGAGTGTACAAAGTTTCTGAGAACTTGATCTGAAAAACAAGTATGATTTTTCTCACATTAAAAGAATGTCAAGGGGCTAGGAAGGTGGCTCAGTGGTAGAGCGCTTGCCTTGCAAGCATGAGGCCCTGGGTTCGATTCCTCAGCACCACATAAGCAAAAAGAAAAAACCCAGAAGTGGCGCTGTGTCTCAAGTGGTAGAGCGCTAGCCTTGAGCTGGAGAGCTGAGGGACAGTGCCCAGGCCCAGAGTTCAGGCCCCACGACCGTACCCAAAAAATAAATAAATAAATAAATAAATGTCAAAATAGAGCTTGGTATCAGTGACTCATGCCTGTAATCCCAGCCACTCAGGAGGCTGAGATCTGAGGATTACTGTTTGTTTGTTTGTTTGTTTTGGGTCCGGTCCTGGGGCCTGAACTCTGGGCCTGGGCGCTGTCCCTCAGCTCTTCAGCTCAAAGCTAGCACTCTACCACTTGGGCCACAGTGTCACTTTTCTTTTTTGCTTATGTGGTGCTGAGGAATCGAACCCAGAGCCTCAGGCATGCAAGGCAAGCGCTCTACCACTGAGCCACCTTCTCAGCCTGAGGATTACTGTTAGAAGTCAGCCAGTCAGGAAAGTCTGTGAAACCCTTATCACCAACTAAATCACAGAAAAAGCCAGAAGTAGCAGTGTGGCTCAATTAGTAGAGCCGCTAGCCTTGAGCAAAAAGAAAAGGAGCTCAAGGGCAATATTGAGGCCCAGAGTTCAAGCTTTAGGACCAGAAAAAAAAGTCAAAATAACTAATAAAGTGGCAGTTATTAGAGCAGAAGTTGAACAATTTATAGAGCAGTGGTTCTCACTTTTTTAGCATTATGAAATCCTTAAGTAATTGAATAAAAAACATCCACACCTCTAATAGTAAAAATGAAATGAGTTAATATAGGTAAAGAACTTAGGCTGGCACCCTGCATATAGTAAGGTTTATACAGATTTAAACTATTACAATCCATAATCCTTTTTCTTAATTCTTAGGGAAATACTTGTATTAGAACTCAGAATTTTCTTTAATATTACATAGTACTGCCAACAGAGATTAAGGCACATCTTATAATCGAACATTCTAATATTTCTACAGTAAAATAAACCAATATTCACATTAAATGAGATAAAGTCTATAATTAGGATCACAAAAATTTCTTACCAGACAAGTTCACATCAGGTCTAGTATTTTACCAACTGAATTTCAAAAGAAACTCCTTGCTGGGCCTCAGTGGCTCAATCCTGTAATCCTAGCTACTCAGAAGGCTGAGATCTGAGGATCACAGTTGGAAGACAGCTAGGCAGGAAACTCCATGAGACTTTTATTTATTTACTTATTTTGTCAGTTGTGGGGCTTGAACTCTGGGCCTGGGCACTGTCCCTCAGCTCTTCAGCTCAAGGCTAACACTCTATCACTTGAGCCACAGTGCCACTTCCGACTTTTTCTGCTTATGTGGTGCTGAGAAATACAACCCAGGGCCTCATGTGGTGCAAAGCAAGCACTCTGCCACTGAGCTACTTTCCCCGCCTCCATAAGACTTTTATTTCCAATTAGCCAGTAATAAAGGGGAAGTAGCTCAAGTAGTAGTGTTAGTCTTGAACAAAAAAGCTCAGGGATATTGTAGCTGCTCAGGAGGCTGCAATCTGAGGATCGTGGTTTAAAGACAGCCTAGGCAGAAAAGTCTGTGAGGCTCTTATCTCCAAAAAACTACTCAGAAAAAGACAGAAGTAGCACCATGGCTCAAGTGGTAGAGAGCTAGCCTTGAGCACAAAGAGGCTCAAGGACAGCACCCAGGCCCAGAGTTCAAGCCCCAGGACTCACAAAAAAATTTTAAGGGCTGAGAAAGTGGCTCAGTGGTAGAGTGCTTGCCTTGCATGCATAAGGCCATGGGTTCGATTCCTCAGTACCACATAAACAGAAAAAGCCAGAAATGGCACTGTGGCTTAAGTGGTAGAGTGCTAGTCTTGAGCAAAAGAGCTCATGGAGAGTTCCCAGGCCTAGAGCTCAAGCCCCATGACCAACCAAAAAAAATTTTTTTAATTTATATTTTAACAAAATATAAAGGTGTTAAAGGCAAATCTGAGATTTTATTTGTATCTTCACTCATCTAACACATATTTATTAGATGCCTATATGCCCAATACTACACCAGGAATAGAGCAGTGAAGAAGAAAAAAATCCTTTGTTATTTATTTCTTAAAACAAAGATGGTAGAAAGAAAAAAAACCAACAACAATGTTGGAGACAGACAACAAACAGAAAAGCAAATGTATATAATGGAATGTTAGGAGATAATAAATACTATGACAATTTGAGCAATTCAGCTTTATATTTAGAAAAGTTTTATAACTGTGTAAAAGTTTAGCCACTTTTTAATAATTCAGGATAACAGATGACAAAATACTAAGCAATTTGAAATCTTCAAAGTAGCAAAGTAGAAAGATCTTCTTAATTTGTAATATATTTTTTGAAATCTAGTAGCTAGGATCATAGGCAGGAGCCATTGGTGCCTTTCTGCTCTTCTTTTTTTTTTTTGGTCATGGGCCTGAACTCAGGACCTGGGGTGCTGTCTCTCAGCTCTTCAGCTCAAGGCTAGCTCTCTACCATGTGAGCCACAGCGCCACTTCCAGCTTTTTCTGCTTATGTGGTGGCTGAGGAATCGAACCCAAGAACTTGTGCATGCGAGGCAAGCACTCGACCACTGAGCCATCTTCTCAGCCCCTGCTCCTTTAATGCTGAAGAGAACTATGCTACAGTAGCTGAAGGTTGTGTAGACTTCTGACACTCAGTTTACAGTAATAAATGTGTTGTGCTTTTCCAAAAAATGAGTAAACAGACAGCTACTAAATTTATGTTATTCCTGGGTTATTTCTTGCATGCAGAATCCATCTGATACTCAAACACAAAGGTAATATCAATATAATAGAATCTGTAATGAAAGGAATGCATAATGTATTTGTTACATACACACAGAAAGCATACTGTATCATCCTGTATCATCCACTTAATTGATTCCGCTTCCAGGAAAGCCCTTGCCCTTTTGACTACATTTTTTTTTTTAACAAAATTTACCTGTGCAGCCAGTAATGCATTTTTCAGTTCTTCTCTGGTAACTTCTGGGGCATCAGTTTGTCCAACTAAACCTATTGTATTATTCTGGGAAGGTCTATCTTGCTCTGCTGTTTCCTTCAAATGAGCACTAAGGTAGGCTTTAGATGCAAGAAGATAACCATTCAACATATGTAGAGTAATATCCATCAATGGGGGGCACCTAAACAAAGAAGGAAAAGATACAGAAGAGAGTGAAAATGTGTAACTTAGTCAGAACATGCTCTAAACATGCTGCTAAAATACTTTAAAAACTCTGAATATAGTACAGTACAGTGACTTTTCCCACTGAAACATTCATGCCCCAAATAAAAGGTGAATAGGAATGTCTTATTTTCTACATTTCAAAGATTACATAGTAGTATTGCTTCCTTTAATCAGCCAATATAAATTATAACGTAAACTTTAGAGGAAAGATCTTTTTTGCAGAAAATGACACCACTAGCATATCTAAGATAGGAGGTCTGACTTAAAGATAGAAGTTTATCTTTGCTGTCAATCACTCTTGGTGTTATTGTACTTTCTAAGTTTCTGGCTCTTGTTTACCATTTTGGTTGTTTGCACTTTGGGGAAGCATTTGTTTCAGGAAGAGATACAACAAGCCAAACACATGTTATTTTTAAAAAGTGAAATTCAAGTGACACATACCTGTGAACCCTGGGATCACACCTGAGCACAATGAGTGGGTCTATCATGAGGTCATTCTGAGTATACTTCTGTTGTCGTACAAACTTTATGGAAGGCTGAAGTGCATTAACTGTCATCACCCACAGCCTGATAAGAAAATAGTCACAGTTCAAAGCAGCTATGTTATCACTGATACGTACAGTTATCTGGTCCTTCACTCATGTTATTTTCAGAAAAAATTTTGAAAACAGATACAAAGAAACTTAAAAAACAAGAACAGAAGCCGGGCGCTGGTGGCTCATGCCTGTAATCCTAGCTACTCAGGAGGCTGAGATCTGAGGATCGCGGTTCAAAGCCAGCCCGGGCAGGAGAGACCATGAGACTCCTATCTCCAATAAATCACCAGAAAACCGGAAGTGGTGCTGTGGCTCAAGTGGTAGAGCACTCGCCTTGAGCTGAAGAGCTGAGGGACAGCGCCCAGGCCCAGAGTTCAAGCCCCACGACCGACCAAAAAAAAAAAAAAAAACTAGAACAGAGGGATTAAGAAGGAAGACTAATAATTCTGTGTATCTTTTGTGTATGTGTGGGCCAGCTCTGGGGATTGAATTCAGGGCCTGGGCATTGTCCCCAAGCTTCTTTTGCTAAAGGCTAGCACTCAACCACTTGAGCCACAACTCTACTTCTGGCTTATTTTGAATAGTTTATGGAGATAAGAGTCTCCCAGACTTTCTTGCCTGGGCTGCCTTCAAACAGAGTTCCTCACATCTTAGCCTCGAGAACAGCAAGGATTATAGGCATGAGTTACAGACATAAGCCAGCAGTGCCCAATGTTTAGCTTATTTTTAAGATATGATCCCATTTATTTTTTCTGAGGCTGGCCTTGAACTGCAATTATCGCTGACCTTTACAATTCTTTTATTACAAATCTTCAGAGAGGAATTACATTGTCAAATATCAAAAAGATATTAATATATCTATACATGTATCTATTAAACATATATATGTGTGTATATATGCATGCACACACACACACATACACAGTCTTGTCAGAATATATTTTTTAAATTCAGGGCCTTTGGAAGTGGCGCTGTGGCTCAAGTGGTAGAGCGCTGGCCTTAAGTTGAAGAGCTGAGGGACCACACCCAGGCCCAGAGTTCAAGCCCCACGACCGACAAAAAATAAATAAATAAATAAAAATAAATTCAGGGCCTTCTATATGTAGGCAGGTGCTGTTCCACTTGAGACGTGTTCCCACCTTTATGAAGATTGTGTTAGACAATTAAGTTTAGCTTGTTAGATAGATAGATAGATAGATTTTTTTTGGGGGGGTATCCAGTCGTGGGGCCTGAACTCTGGGCCTGGGCACTGTCCCTCAGCTCTTCAGCTCAAGGCTAGCGCTCTACCACTTGAGCCACAGCGCCACTTGCGGCTTTTTTCTTTTTGCTTTTGTGCTGCTGAGGAATCAAACCCAGGGCCTCATGCATGCAAGGCAAGCACTCAACCACTCAGCCACCTTCCCAGCCCCAGCTTGTTATACTTTAACACATACTTCTTTATTACATGCAACAACACATTAAATGTACCTTCTAGGCATCACAGTATTAAGAACCATCCATAATTTTTTGACTGTTTGAAGAATTCTCCGCGGAACCCCTGAGTTCAGCAGCTGGTTCATATTGGATGTTAATACTCCTGCATATGGTATAAGTTCACTGGCAGAGAGCAGAGTCAAGTGTTCTATAATCTGCATCACTTGAGTATGACTTACTGGGACAGCTGAGAATGCTAACAACAAAAACATTAGTAGTCATAATTTACATTTGTATAGTTTATCAAAAAAGGAATGATACTGCTTGGTCTCTTAGACTACAGGCTAAACAAATCAAGAAAACAATGTTGCTAAAAAATAAAGCATTCTGGGGCTGGGAATGTGGCTTAGTGGTAGAGGGCTTGTCTAGCATGCATGAAACCCTGGGTTCAATTCCTCAGTACTACATATAAACAGAAAAAGGTGGAAGTGGTACTATAGCTCACAAGTGGTAGAGTGCTAGCCTTGAGCAAAAGAAGCTCAGGGACAGTGCCTAGGCCCTGAGTTCAAGGCAAAAATAAATAAAATAGTCTTACTTTTAAATCATATTAGTGACCCAACAATACACCACACTTCCTTATGTTATTCAGAAGGACTGAAATAGAAAAATAGGCCAAAGTATTCCTTGTGGTAGTTTTTCATCTGAAAAGTTCCTTGATTCTTTCCTTCAAGTGGCCCATTTATAAGCTGTAAGCATCCAGCAGACTGATGTTACTAGAACTATTCTCTCCAACAGAGTTCAAGAACCACATCAACTATTGGGCAAATGAGATGTGAAGAGTCTAAATTGCAGTGTGGTAAAAGTATAAAGCTACCAGATGGAAAAACATGATGTGGGTATAAAAGGTAAAATATTTCACTAATACTTTATTTTTTTTTGTTGAGCCTACTGCTTGAACTCTGTGCCTCACACTGGCTAGACAAGTTCATTTCCATTTGAGCCACACTCCCAGACCTTTTATGCCTTAGTTTATGTTTTTGTCTCAGGGCCAACTTTTGACCACAATCCTCCATGGGAATAGGATTAAAGGTACACATGTTACCATGCCTAGCATCATAATACTTTTTATATTGATGATACGATAGAATAATGTATTGATAATATTTGGCTAAATAAAATAATAGCTGGATACGAGAGGTTTATGTCTGAAAACTTAGCTAAACAGGATCCTGAAATCAAGAGGATCATGGTTTGAGACCAGCCCCAGCAAAAAATTTGTTTGCAAGACTCCTCAGCCAATAGCTGGCAGTAGCAGAACCTTCCTGTCAGGTACTGCAGGAAGTATAAAATAGGAAGATTCTGATCCAGGTATACTCCTAGGAAAGAGGTAACACACTATCTCAAAAACAAACACTGTAAAACAAAGGTAGATACATGGCTCAGCAGTAGATTGTCGATTGACATGAACAAGTCCTGAGTTCAAACCCTAGTACTAGCAAAAAATGAATTTTTTTTTTTTGGTCAGTCATGGGGCTTGAGGGAAAGGCTCATGCACTTTCCTGCCCAGGCTGGCTTTCAACTGCAATTGTCAGATCCCAGCCTCCTGAGTAGCTAGGATTACAGGCAAGAGCCACCAGTGCCCAGATTAAAGTAATTATTATAATTTACTTTTTGCTGCTTTTTCCTCACAGGCTGCCTGAGGATTGGCCGCTATTATAAACAACACAGTAAATTTCATGACCAACTAACTATTTTAACTGATGCCCTTTCCATCAATGTTCTTTAAAGATCACTGATGTCCTTTACCACAAGAAAGCAAATAGAACCTAAAAGAGCAATTCAGGATAACTAACCAAAGTTTATAAGACCACACCAGATGTCACCTTTGTGTTTGGATTTAGAACCAATGTGGCAAAACAACTTGGCTTTGAAATGATTTATAACCTCTTGAATTACATGATGAAAAATTAATCCAAATCCAGAATTGAAAGCCATGGCCTGTATGAGACAAAAAATCTCAAGAGCAGGGGGCCAAAGACCAATTTTGGCATTTAAAAAGGATTAAAAAACAGACAAGACACATGCATGTAAATCCTGCCAGTCTAGCATTATAGGCAAGAGGATCTTGAATTAGAGGCCAGCCCAGGCAAATGTAATGAGAATCTAACATTCAAAAATAAAATATGGGGGGGGGGGGGGTGGGGGGGGCAGGGGGGGAGGAGAGATGGGAAGGGATGGGAAGGGGAAACAAAGGAGGAGACAACATTGCCCATGTAATTGTAATCCCTCTATACGATATTTTCACAATTAAAAAAAAAAGAATTAAAAATAAATAATAAAATCTGAGTGTTGGAGCCATGGCTGAAGAGGTAAAGTACCTGCCTATTACGGGAGATTCCAAGACTTCAATCGTGACTACTATCAAAAAAAAAAACAACAACAACAAAACGAACTTTACAATTTATGTGTGTATGGGGGGGGGGGGGTAGATGTAGTGTGGAGGTAGGAGGGAAGGGATGGTAGGGGAAAAATAAAGGAGGAGGCAATAATGCTTGATAAGAAATCTACTCATTACCTTGCTCATGTGATTGTAACCCCCTCTACACAGTATTTTCACAATAAAAAACTTATTTAAGGGGCTGGGAAGGTGGCTTAGTGGTAGAGCACTTGCCTTGCATGCATGAGGCCCTGGGTTCGATTCCTCAGCACCACATAAGCAAAAAGAAAAAAGCCAGAAGTAGTGGTGTGGCTCAAGTGGTAGAGTGCTAGCCTTGAGCTGAAAAGCTGAGGGACAGCACCCAGGCCCAGAGTTCAGGCCCCATGACCGGACGCAAAAAAACAAAACAACAACAACAAAAAACTTATTTAAAAAAAAAAAATTCAGGGCTGGGAAGTTGGCTCAGTGGTAGAGCACTTGCCTTGCATGCCTGAGGCCGTGGGTTCAATTCCTCAGCACCACATAAGCAAAAAGAAAAAACCCGGAAGTGGCGCTGTGACTCAAGTGGTAGAGCGCTAGCCTTGAGCTGAAGAGCTGAAGGACAGTGCCTAGGCCCAGAGTTCAGGCCCCACGACCGGACCCAAAAAAAAAAAAAAAAAAAAATTCAATAATCACCTTGCAGTGATTATAAGGTGTGTGTGTGTGTGTGTGTGTGTGTGTGTGTGTGTGTGTGTGTGTGTGTGTGTGTGTGTGTGTGTGTGTGTGTGTGTGTGTGTGTGTGTGTGTGTGTGTGTGTGTGTGTGTGTAAGTAACAAGGTTTATAAACTGCAAAACCAAAAATTTTTCAAAAAACTAATTTGCCAGCACTGGGACTTGAACTCAGGGCCTGGGTACTGTCCCTTAGCTTCAACTCAATGTTGGCACTCTACCACTTGAGCCACGGCTCCACTTCCAGGTTTTGGTGGTTATTTATAGAGATAAGAGCCTCACAGACTTTTCTGCTTAGACTTGCTCTAAACCTCAATCTCATATCATCTTCCTGAGTAGCTAGGATCACTGGCATGAGCCACTAGCACCCAGCTGCCTGTTTGTTTTTACTTTTGCTTTTGCTGGTACTTGGGTTTGAGTACTTTTTTGTGTGTGTGTGTGTGTGTGTATTTTTTTTTTTTTTTTTTGGTCCGGTAGAGGGCCTGAACTCTGGGCCTGGGCACTGTCCCTCAGCTCTTCAGCTCAAGGATAATGCTCTACCACTTGAGGCACAGTGCCACTTCCGGCTTTTTTTTTTTCGGCTTATGTGGTGCTGAGGAATCGAACCCAGGACCTCATGCACGCAAGGCAAGCGCTCTACCACTGAGCCACCTTCCCAGCCCTGGTACTTGGGTTTGAATTCAGGACCTTCTGCTTATAGACTGACCCATTACCTCTGAGCCACACCTTGAGTCCTATTTCTCTGGGAGTTTTTTTGTTGTTGTTGCTGTTTGTTTGTCTATTGATTGCGGGCTTGAACTCTGGACCTGGGTGCTGTCCTCAGCTCTTCAGCTCAAGACTAGTGCTCTATCACTTGAAGCTCAGCACCACTTCTAGTTTTCTGGTGGTTTATTGGAGATAAGAGTCTCACGGGGGGCTGGAAATGTGGCTCAGTGGTAGAGTGCTTGCCTTGCATGCATGAGGTCCTGGGTTCGATTCCACAGCACCACATAAGCAAAAAGAAAAAAGCCAGAAGTGGCGCTGTGGCTCAAGTGGTAGAGCGCTAGTCTGGAGCTAAAGAGCTGAGGGACAGCACCCAGGCCCAGAGCTCAGGCCCCATGACCGGACCAAAACAAAAAGTCTCACAGACATTCCTGCCCAGGCTGGTTTTGAACTGAGATCCTAAGATCCCAACCTCTTGAGTAGCTAGAATTAAAGGCGGAACCACCGGTGCCTGGTTTTTGTTGTTTTTTTTTGCCAGTTCTGGGGCTTGAACTCAGGTCCTGGGCACCTGTCCCTCAGCTTCTTTTTGCTCAAGGCTAGTGCTGTACCACTTGAGCCATAGAGCTACTTCTGGATTTTTCTGTGTATGTGGTACTGAGGAATTGAACCCAGGGCTTCATGCAAGCTATTCTACCATTAAGCCACATTCCCAGCCCTCTGGTTATTTTTAGGATAGAGTTTTGCTTCCTGCTCATACATGCATGTGAACAGCAATCTGCCTACTTTTGGCTGCGGGGACCACACATACATCTTCATCTTCCCTTTGTAGATATAGTCTCTCAAGTTTTCCTGCCCCTGGTCTGGAACACAAATCCTGCCAACCTCAACCTTCCATGGAACTTAGGATGATAAGCAGATACATGCTTTTCTGCCCAACTATGGGCCAAAAACAGGTATCATGAACTTTTCCACCTGGGTTGGAAAAAAATTGTGAGGCTCCCATTCTCAGCCTCTACAATAACTTAAGAATATAGGCATGAGCCTCCAGCACCTTGCTTTTTCACCTTTAAATTTTCTAAAAGAAAGTTTGTATGTGTGGCTCTCTTTCAGTTTCATAGTGCCCTTTTTAGATATTATCCAGTGAAAACAAATATTACCCCATCACATTTATTTCTAAACAGTTCAAGATATTCCTCAAACCACACCACTTTATTGAGAAAAAAGGTAAATGTATGTCAATCTGATTCTCAGCAACAACAAGAAGAAGAAGAAAAAGATAAAAGCACATAAAAAAGAAATGGTTAGGGCTGGGAAGGTGGCTTAGTGGTAGAGTGCTGGCCTAGCAAAAAGAAATGGTTAGGGCTGGGAAGGTGGGTCAGTGGTAGACTGCTTGCCTAGCATGCAGGAAGCCCTGGGTTCGATTCCTCAGTACCACATAAACAGCAAAAAGCCAGGAGTAGCGCTGTGGCTCAGGTGGTAGAATGCTAGCATTGAGCAAAAGAAGCTCAGGGACAGTGCCCAGGCCCTCAGTTCAAGCCCCAAGATTGGCAAAATGGAAAGAAAAAAAAAAAAAGGTTAAATCTCCTTAACTCAGCAAGATGCCAGTGGCTCACACCTGTCATTCTACCTAATTAGGAAGCTGAGATCTAAGGATCATGGTTTGAAGCCAGCCCAGGCTGGAAAATCCCTGAGATTCTTACCTCCAATTAACATTAAATAGCAGGAGTAGAGCTGTGGCTCAAGTGGCAGAGTGCTAGTCTTGAGCAAAAATGCTCAGGACCAGTGCCTAGGCCCTGAGTTCAAGCTCTAAGACCAGCACAAAAACAACAAAACTAAAACCTTCTTAACTCAAGGAAAATTATTTAAAATGTACTCACCAGAATATAGTTATTTCCCCAGGGAAGTATGTATGTTCACAAGATTTTGATTAATTTAGTACCTACTTATATTACTAAAGGGGTAAGGGAGTACCAATTCATTGTACCTTCTTGGAGTTGTTTGGGAGAGTGAATTTTGGCATTATTAGTCAGGAGCATTCGTCTTAATAGGGCATCAGTTCCTGTGATTTCTTCTTCGCAGATCCAGTCATCCACAATACATAAATGTGGGTAATTAGTTGCAAGGAGACGTAGTAAAGCTGAATGTAACCCTTAAAAACAAACAGCAAGGTCAATCAGATTCTCCATGCTCAAAAACCAGAAGCTCCTCTACTTTGTTTCTTAGTAAGCTCCAAGGCATGACAGCAGTGTTTCTCAAAGGAAGATCAGAAGCCGGGGAAGCCTGCTGCATGTACAGAGTAATAGATACTATATGAATGACTACAGCACAAACTCGAGAATGAAGCCTAGGGATTGACATTTCTGTGCATGTATACCACAGTTCAAGAATGTCTATAAAGGGGCTGGGAAAGTGGCTCAGTGGTAGAGCGCTTGCCTTGCATGCATGAGGCCCTGGGTTCGATTCCACAGCACCACATAAGCAAAAAGAAAAAAGTCGGAAGTAGTGCTGTGGCTCAAGTGGTAGAGCGCTAGCCTTGAGCTGAAGAGCTGAGGGACAGCACCCAGGCCCAGAGTTCAGGCCCCACGACAGACCCAAAAAAAAAAAAACAACAGATAATCCCCAATTATCATTAAGTATGACTTTTCCCCAGTGTACAAGTGATCTGCGCTCAGTAGGACCTGTAGTTTGGCACTTGTCATTTCCAGAGCTTATCTAGGAGAAATGCTTCTACAGAGCTCACCCCCAAGCACAAGTGCCTGCACTTTTATTTGGTTCAACCTGTAGAGAAAAATGTCTGTAAATAAACTATGGGGAAAACAGCTCTTTAGGAAGAAAGGTGGTTTGCAGGGAGTGAAGTAGTTGGTTTAATGAGGGAAACAAAGAGGAATTTCACCCTTGAATTCTTGACTTTTTAGCATGAAGCACCCATGACACTTTACAAAATAAACAGTAACATATCTCTTACCAATAAACTTTAGCACTGAAAACAAAATAAAACAACTACCTCCCAGTTCCTGCTGCAGTCCTTGAGCTTGTCGAATAAGGAATTTGATAGGAATCTGATCCATTAAAGAAGAAGAATATGATTTGGGTTTCCTTTGCATGGCAGCTGTCAGTCAAAGAGAAACAATGTAAAATGAAGTGTCAGAGACTAAAACCTTCAACCCACATAAAAAGAAAAACAATATTAAACCACTTTTACTATCAAAACAGTGAATATACAGAAATGTAAGAATGTACAAAACAGCAAGAACTAGACAGACTGCTTTACGTTTTTTTTTTTTGCCAGTCCTGGGGCTTGAACTCTGGGCCTAGGCATTACCCCTCAGCTCTTCTAGCTCAAGGCTAGTGCTCTACCACTTGAGCCACAGCACCACTTCTGGCTTTTTTCTGTTTATGTGGTGCTGAGGAATCGAACCCATGGCCTCATGCATGCAAGGCAAGCACTCTACCACTGAGCCACCTTCCCAGCCCAATTTTTTTTTTTTGGGGGGGGGGGGGTCCAGTCGTAGGGCCTGAACTCTGGGCCTGGGCACTCTTCCCAGCCCCAACTCAATTTTTTTTGGGGGGGTTCAGTCCTGGGGCTTGAACTAAGGGCCTGGGTGCTGTCCCTCAGCTCTTCAGCTCAAGGCTAGCGCTCTACCACTTGAGCCACAGCGCCACTTCCGGCTTTTTTTTCCTTTTTTTTGCTTATGTGGTGCTGAGGAATCAAACCCAGGGCCTCAGGCATGCAAGGCAAGAGTTCTACCACTGAGTCACCTTCCCAGCCCCTCACTGTGCTTTAATAAATAGTCTTTGCCTATTGAGATTGAGTCCAGCCTATTTTTTTTCTTGTCCATTTTCTTTTCTTGTTGGTCACAGGGCTTGAACTCTGGGCCTGGGCTGAAGAGCTGAGGGACAGAGCCCAGGCCCAGAGTTCAGGCCCCACGACCAGACCCAAAAATAAATAAATAAATAATAAATAAATAAATAAAGCACAGTGAGGGGCAAACAACCTTCCCACAGGAATGGAGGTTGTTCAAGGAAGTGGAGTTGGAGTTGGGCTTTTCTGGGGTCTAAGCAAGAAGACAGAGGTTATTTAGTTCAATAAAGGGGAACTACAGGTACAGGCAGAAAAATAGGGTACTGTGGTTACAACCATTAACATGAGTTACAGTTTGTATACCTAGTGACAACTGACTCCCTTATTGTTAGGGAGCAGAGGAGAGCAATCTTATTTCTAAGTCTCATGCTCTTAGTCCTAATAGCTCTAACTTAAAACACACTTAGGGTAGTAACTTATACATTTGTCTTGTGTTGACTACTGGATCTTTTCAGGGTCTAGTTCTCAGCTTTTTGAGTACTGAGGAGGTGGCATTTCAACCTCTTAACTCTTCCCTGGTCTCACAACTCGGCTTCAATTCCCTACAGGTTAGGCCCATAATGGAATATTACGGCCAGACTTAGGTTGGATTGCCCTGACTGAATCAAGCACATCCATGCATACCTGGGGTTTTGCCTGACGTCGTATATGCCTGGGATAGTAGGGTGGGGGTCAATCCTTCATATTCCATCTTTAGATACATAAGAAGATTGGGCCAAGAAGGGAGCGTTAAGTCCTTCAACTCATGCTTTTGCTGGCTGTTTTGCTCACTAAAAGCTATCAGGTGCAGGTAAATATCCACACATGCACATATTTGTGCACCAATGTCTTCTCTGTAAAGATTATAGAACGATGCAAGAGCTCGCTAGAATATTTGATCTAGGCTGGGCCTGTAATCCTGAAGGCTGAGATCTGAGGACTACAGTTCAAAGCCAGCCCAAATAAACTCCAGAGAACCATAAATGGAGCTGTGGTTCAAAGTGGTAGAGTGCTAGCTTGGAATAAAAGGAGCTCATGGACAGCACCCTGGCCCTGAGTTCAAGCCCAGTGACTGACAAAAAAAAAGAAAAGAAAAAAAGAATATTCAGCCTTATTTTATTATACAAGCTCTAATTCCTTGGAAAACAATAAAATGCAAGCAAATAAAATAAACCATTAGAACTACTTGCCAATGCACAGCTTACCCAAGGTCTTTGTGTTTGCCAGGAGCGCTTCCTCATAAGACAGTATATAGTAGAGCACCAAAAGCTGCGCTGTGATACTGAAACGCTGGTTAAGGCGGATGCTGTCACCCTGGAGGTAATGTTAACACACTTAATATTACAGATTTTAGTTATACAAATGACTATCGAACAACTAATGAACCACTCAACACATGAATATCAGGAATCTGAAACATGTTCACATGGGGGGATAACAGCGAGGTGAGGGGCACAGGAATGGAGGGACGCAAGGTGGGCAAATGCAGTCATTGTATTCAATGTACTCTATGTAAAACTTGAACTACATAACTTGAGGGTAGGGATGGGATGGGGAAAGATGGGTGAGAATCAAAGACGAGGTGACACTTGATCAAGATGCATTGTACTCATAACCTGACTTCTGGAATTGAAACCCCTTAGTTCAACTACTTAATACTAATAAATATATTGTTTAATTAAATGAATGCATTTGACTGTTTTAACAGTAAAAGCTTGAAATAGACTTCTTATCTGGAGTTGCTTTTCCCAAGCTCAAATAAACTGGGAGGAAAGTTGTTACATTTCATTATGCTCAGAGAACACTTACAATCTAACTGAAACTTGTGATGGAGTACTAGTCTTTAAGATAAAACCAAAACAGAAGCAGCGGGACCCGGTTAATCAGAAGGCTGAAATCTGAGAAGCACTGTTCAAAGATGAGACTCTTATCTCCAGTTAACAACCAAAAAGCAAGAGGTGGAGCTGTGGTTCAGGTAGTAGAGTGCCAACATGAGTGAAAAAGATAAAGGACACCCTCCAGGCCCTGAGTTCAAGATACACCGCCACCCACCCCCCCAAACAAAAGATACCAGTTACTATTCAGTTATACTTCCAGTAGGCTGCTTCTGAAAGATTTCCAGGAATATCAAATATTATGTAAAATTATTATGGAGAAAACAATGACTAAAAACATACATTGCATATCCAGCATAAAGTCCTGACTTTAATCTCTGATACTGCCAAAAAATTTGATAGTAACTATTTTAAAAACTATCTTTGCCAAGCATCGATGGCTCACACCTGTAAATCCTAGCTAGTCAGGAGGCTGAGATCTGAGGATCCAGGTTCAGGCAAGAAAAGTCTGTGAGACTTTATCTCCAATAAACCACTCAGAAAACCAAAAGTGACACTGTGACTCAAATGGTAGAGCATTAGCCTTGAACTGAAGAGCTGAGTGATAGTGCTCAGGCCCAGAGTTGAAACCCCACAACCCCCCTTCCCCCCAAAAAAGCTATGTCTGTGAAAGATGCAATTCATTTTCCATTCAAACAAAAATGAAAAACATTTTCGTGAAATTTCTCATTAAATAAATCCAAGTATAGTTTACATTTCTGGGAAACTAAGCAGACTATATTGAACTTTTTGAAATGTCATAAAGTCCCATAAGAATACACAATCACTAAGGCACCACTGTACTTGAAAATGAAGTTCCAAAAGAACTGTTTGAACCAGAATTGGGGGACATGCCTGTCAACCCTGTACCCATGAGGCTGGAACAGGAGGATCTGATTTAAGACCAGCATGGCTACGAGGCAAGACCCTGTCATTCATTCATACATACATACATAAAAACATACATAGATACATATCGCCTCAAAAAATACTAAGAAAATGTATTGTATTTTGCTTGTTTGCTTTGGTAGTGCTGGGTTTGAATGTGAGGCCTGTGCTAACTAGGCAGGTATTCTACCACTGAACTTCACTCCAGCCCTACTTTTGTGCTGGTTTTGTTGTTGTTGTTGTCTGTTTGTTTGTTTTGTGTGTATACCAATCCTGGGGCTTTAATTCAGGGGCAGGACACTGTCTCTTGAGTTATTTTGCTAAATACTGGCAATCTACCATGTGAGTCACAGTTCCAATTCTGACTTTTCTGGTGTTTAATTGGAGATTAGAGTCTCAGACTTTCCTGCCTGGACTGGCTTTGAACCACAATCCTCAGATCTCAGTCTTCTGAGTAGCTAAGATTAAAGGCATGAGTCACAGACTCCGGGCTTGTGCTGGTTATTTTTTGAGATAGGATGTTACTTCTGCCTAGAGCATGCTTTAAATGCAATCCTATTTTGCAATTCCCACTCCTACTGGCATAATAGGCAATGCCACAACTCCCAGCATCTTCCAGTAAGTCTTATAGACTTTTCATGCCCAGGCTGGCCTGGAATGGTGATCCTTCCAATTTTAGCCCGACACATAGCTAGGATGACAGGCATGTGCCACTCTGCAAAGCTATTTGTTAAGAAAAGATCTCTTGAACTTTTATATTCTGTTTGGCCTCAAACCACAATCCTGACCTTCGCCTCCCATGTAGCTATGATTGCACCTGGCTATTGGCACCTGGCTGAAATTTTAAGTTCAAAATTACCAGAAGTCTTCTGAGGTAAAATAAATAAGAAGAAATTAGAAGAAATAAGAATAAATTAAAAGAAAAAAATAGGAGAAAAATGAGCTAATAGTTGCAAAAGAATCAGTTCTTTACCCCAATGACTTCCTGGAAAATATTGAGTATTTCCTGTTCAGTGACTGGCTGGTTTGTGGCTTCAGGGTTCGATTTAGATGCAGGAGTAAGAATAGAATTGATGTACACATCGATCAGAGGAAGTAACTGAGGATGGAGTGGAGTAGAGGTTTCACACAGCTGTCTATAAATCCAATCCTAAAAAGGAACGTTATAGGCACCCAATCAATTATGGCAGTGAGGAAAAAAAAGGACAAAATTATAGATGCAAAATTATAGATGCACATTTAGTTTTACATGACATTAGAAGCAAGAAAACATTTATTAACACTATTAGCATATACCAGCTCCAAATACATTATCTAGTTACCCTGATTGTCTTTGATATTAAAATATGAACTGCCTTTATATTTTGATCAAGAATATATATTATATGTATATAAGAAATAAGAAAAACATTTGAAGAAATTACTTTCCCCAGATTTAGAGTACCATATGTATTATCGAGGAAGATCTCACACTGGAAGAGTCAGAGGGATCTTTCTTCAGAGAAATATTCAAATTAAGAAAGCATCTTTGAAAAAAAACATCTTTGATATGCACTAAAAGGAGACCACTTGACTATAGGCGCGGTATGTGTAGAATTGCTGTCTGTGAGTTTGTGTTAGTTCTTAGCTATTTTACTTGATAAAAATACAAATGTTAATGAATAGGCGCATTGTTGCTAAGAATTTAAATGAATGAGTAACACTACATATTTTATGTGTGTGTATGTATATGTTAAAGACCTTTTACAATTATAACTATATAAATGACTAGCAACTTAGCCTAATACCACAAAACCCACAGTAAAAGCATACAAACTGATATATAGAACTAACTAGAAAGAATTAACCCAAGTTGTAATTTAAACTATAAATGTAAGGTCATACTTTTATTGACACTTTGTGCTTGGTAAAGGAACGACTCCTGAGAAGCTGATAAATACAATGAATAGGCAAAAAACCAGTAATGTTAGCACTCAGGTTGCTAGTGACAGGGACCCGAACTGCATGAGCTGTGACAACCTGAAAGAGAAAACAGTATTAATACGTATTAACACATGGGAGCAAATAATTTTTATTTTATTTATATTTTTTGTTGGTCATGGGGCTTGAACTCTGGGCCTGGGCACTGTCCCTCAGCTCTTCAGCTCAAGGCTAGCACTCTACCACTTGAGCCACAACACTACTTCCAGTTTTCTGAGTGGTTTATTGGAGATAAGAGTCTCATGTTCTTTCCTGCCGGGGCTGGCTTTGCACTGGAATCCTCAGATCTCAGCCTCCTGAGTAGCTAGGATTACAGGCGTGAGCCACCAGCACCTGGTACAAATAAATAATTTTGAAAGACCAGTTTAGAAAGTAGACTACCAACACTTAAGTGTGGTTCTAAGGAATGAATAATATATATATATATATATATATATATATATACATATATATATATATATATATATATATATATATATATATAGTTAAATGTTTCAAATAGTTTTAAGTGATGAAGCAGCAACCAAGTACTGTCTCGGTAGTCTGAGACAGGAGGATCACAAACTGAGCTACACAGAAAGACCCTGCCTCAGCCAGGTGCTAGTGTCTCATGCCTGTAATACAAGCTACCCAGGAGGCTGAGGTCTGAAGATTGTGGTTCAAAGCCAGCCTAGGTAGCAAAGTCCATGAGATTCTTATCTCTAATTAATCACAAAAAGCCAAAAGCAGAGCTGTGGCTCAAGTGGTAGAGTGCTAGCCTTGAGCAAAACTGCTCAGGAACAGCACCCAGGCCGCAGTACCAGCACACAAAAAAAAGACTTAAACAGGTCTCTACTTAACCTTTTCCCTGAAAAATCCAAATAATGATCCTATAAACATAGTATTGATACCTAACACTTTACCTTAAATATCTAATCAAAGTCTCTCAATATATAAATTTGTGCTAAGAGGATGGCTCAAGTGGTATAGTGCTTGCCGGCTCCTCAAGTACCTAAGGCCAAACTCAAGTACATGTAACTGTGTGTGTGTGTGTGTGTGTGTGTGTGTGTGTGTGTGTGTGTGTGCGTGTGCGTGTTCAAAAAAATTTAAGGGGCCTGGTGCTGGTGGCTCACATCTTTAATCCTAGCTACTCAGGAAGTGTGGCACTTTAACTCAAGTGGTAGAGCGCCAGCTTTGAGCTAAAGGGCTGTGGGACAGCTCCCAGATCCCCCCAAAACCAACAAAAAAATAAGTAAATAAAAAATTTAAGGGGCTGGGAAGGTGACTCAGTGGTAGAGTGCTTGCCTTACATGCAAGAGGGCCTGTTGCCCTCAGTACCAAAGGCAGAAAAAGCTGGAAATGGCGCTATGGCTCAAGTGGTAGAGCGCTTAGCCTTAAGCTGAAGAGCTGAGGGACAGTGCCCAGGCCCAGACTTCAGACCCCACAAACAACAAAAAAAAAAGAAAATTTAATGCAGCAGCCAGCATGGTAGCTCATGCCTATAATCTGAGCTACTCAGGAGGCAAAGACTAAGAAGACCATGGTTGGAGGCTAGCCAGTCAAAAGTTAACAAGACCCCCATCTCAATCAACAAGCCAGCAATTGTGGCATCTATGATTCTACCAATGCAATAGGCTATAGGTAAGAGGATTGTGGCTCTGGGTGCCAGTGACTCACACCTGTAATCCTAGCTACTCAGGAAGCTGAGATCTGAGGATCGAGGCTCAAAACCAACAGGAGCAGGAAAGTCTGTGAGACTCTTATCTCTAATAAACCACCAGAAAACCGGAAGTGGTGTTGTGGCTCAAGTGGTAGAGCACTAGCCTTGAGCTGAAAAAGTCAGGGACAGCACCCAGGCACAGAGTTCAAGCCCCATGATCAACTGGGGTGGGGGGGGGGGGGGGGGAGATGGTGATCTAGAGCTAGCAAGGCAAAAACAGAAGATCTTATCTTAAAAATCATATATAGGGCTGGACACATTTATATAAACCCAAAGAAGGAAAAACATCTCTAAGCATAATACTAAGACACAAAACATGAAAGAAATAATAAACTACATTAAAATAATAATGATTTCCACATAGCATTAAATGAGTTTTAAAATGTGTTTTAAAAGGACTATTCCTTTCAAAAATGTCAAAGATAAATAAATCATTCTTACAAACTGAGAAGGAATGGAGAGAGACCACATTCTTTTGGAGGTAAGATATATAAGTTTTCTCCCAAAGTATGTCATAAAGAAAAGTTAAATACCTAAGAACAAAAAGAAGTACCTGCTCAGTAAAAATCTCCTGTGTAAAGATAGTCTTCATCCTGCTCAAGGAGCTTGGTTTAATTACGATCTAAAATCATCAAAAGATTAGTCAAAGTACATTATATGCATGTTGTATATATCACAAAGCCCCTTTGTACAATTAATTCATACGAATAATATAACCAAAAGAATTCCAAGAGCATGGAAAAATATACAAAACATTTTTCTCTGAATTTATTATTTAAAATAGTTATAACACACAGTATTGATGTCTAAATGTTCAAGTACTCTGCATTAAAAGTGACTTCTCAGCCAGGCACCAGTAGCTCACACCTGTAATCCTAGCTACTGAGGCTGAGATCTGAGGTTCAAAGCCAGCCTGAACAGGAAAGTCCATGAGACTTTCTATCTCCAATGAACTACCAGAAAACTGGAAGTGGCACTGTGGCTCAAGTGGTAGAGTGCTCGCCTTGAGCTGAAAAGCTCAGGGACAGCGCCCAGGCCCAGAGTTCAACACCTACAACCAACAACAACAACAACAACAAAAGTGACTTCTGCGGCTGGGAAGGTGGCTCAGTGGTAGAGCGCTTGCCTTGCATGCCTGAGGCCCTGAGTTCAATTCCTCAGCACCACATAAGCAAAAAGAAAAAAGCTGGAAGTGGCACTGTGGCTCAAGTGGTAGAGCACTAGCCTTGAGCTGAAGAGCTGAGAGACAGCGCCCAGGCCCAGAGTTCAAGCCCCATGACCAGACCAAAAAAAAAAAAAAGTGACTTCTCAAACCCAACATTAAAGGGTGCTTTTCTTCAGAAAAAGAAATAATACAAAAGGTATGAAGTAAAAGCATAGAGTAGTGGATCACATCTATAGTCTCAGCTACTCAGGGAGCTGGGGCTGGAGGATTGCTTGACCCAAAAATTCAGTCAAGACCAACCTGGACAACTTTGTAAGACTCATCTCAAAAAAAAAAAAAAAGTGCTAGTTTAATAGTATTTGTGCAGGGTGCCAGTGGCTCACACATATAATCCTAGATACTGAGGAACCTAAGAATCATGGTTCAAAGCTCAAAGCTAGCCTGGTTAGAAAAGTTCCATGAGACTCTTTTTTTTTTTGGCCAGTCCTAGAGCTTGAACGCAGAGCCTAGGTACCAACCCTGAGCTTCTTTTGCTCTAGGCTAGCACTCTAGTCTACTATTTGAGCCACAATGCCACTTCTGGTTTTTTCTGTTTATGTGGTACTGAGGAATCAAACTCAGGACTTCATGCATGCAAGGCAAGCACTCTACCACTAAGCAACATTCCCAGCCCCATCCATGAGACTCTTATTTCCAATTAATCACCAGAAAAGTGGAGCTGTGGCTCAAAGTGGTAGATTACTAGCCTTGAGCAAAAGAGCTCAGGGACAATGCCCAGGCCCTGAGTTCAAGACCCACGACTGATTAAAAAAAAAGTATTTGCATTAAAAAAAAGTATTTAGGAAATAGTAATTACTAGAAATTTAACACAGATGAGAAGAAGGTAGTAAAGGTTTTTTAAATGATAATATATGATTTTAAAGAGAGAACAGATACTGCGTTGTTACTGGTAGTATGCTAGACTATCTCTGGATGACGGAATTACATTTTCCCTTGCTATATTTTCCAGTGTTTTTCATTGCAGATCTATTACAATGTTCTCAATATGCATATTGTTTTCCTAAGAGTTTCTGAAAAAGATTCAAACTATCAAGCAACTATCATTGCTTAAATGGAAACAATGTACTTACTTTACCCTACAATGAAATGTCTAGCTTAGACACACCTTCTTTTAGAAAGAAGACAGTATTACCTTCATCCCCAAAGTGGAACAGACGAGGTCAATGATAGCACTAAGCTGGTTGCTATGGAAGTACATAGCCACCAGCAACAACATCTCCCCAAAAGATGCAGACACGCCTGATGTACTGTTGAAACAGAAGAGAAAATAGTAATTACCAAAGAGACAAGAAAAGCTTTCACTGCTGAATAAAACAAATGAAGAATTCTTACCTCTCAAAGTAAGCTTCTTCTTTTATCATCCAACTTAGCCATACAACCATTAGCTGCTCTTGTTCAGGTGTGCTAAATAGAACATAATAGAATGTCACTAGTTTTAAATCAGATAAAGTAGCATATGGATAAAAAGCATTCTGAAATTACATCTGAGCTGGGTAAAGTAGCTCACACCTATAATCCTAGCTACTTAGGAAGCTGAAATCTACAGATCTCAGTTCAAAGCCTGACCAGGTAGGAAAGTTCATGAGCCTCTTATCTCCATTAATCACCAGAAAACCAGAAGTGGAGCTGTGTTCCAAAGTAATAGTGTGCTAGCCTTGAGTGAAAAAGCTTAGGGACAGCACCCTAGCCAAGTTCAAGAGCAGTCAGCATCTAATAAAAAAGCAAAAGTCCTTTGAGATTAAGGTATTAATATATATGATGAAAGCTGATAATTATTTTATATAGAAAAAAAAATTAACCGGGTGCTGGTGGCTCACACCTATAATCCTAAAGATTGTGGTTCAAAGCCCGGCACTGGTGGCTCACACCTGTAATCCTAGCTACTCAGGAGGCTGAGATCTGAGGATCACAGTTCAAAGCCAGCCCAGGCAGGAAAGTCCGTGAGACTTTTTTTTTTTTTTTTTTGTCGGTCGTGGGGCTTGAACTCTGGGCCTGGGCGTTGTCCCTCAGCTCTTCAGCTCAAGGCGAGCGCTCTACCACTTGAGCTACAGAGCCACTTCCAGTTTTCTGGTGGTTTATTGGAGATAGGAGTCTCACGGTCTCTCCTGCCTGGGCTGGCTTTGAACCGCGATCCTCAGATCTAAGCCTCCTGAGTAGCTAGGATTACAGGCGTGAGCCACCAGCGCCTGGCAAGTCCTGAGACTCTTATCTCCAATAAACCACTAGAAAACCGGAAGTGGCACTGTGGCTTAAGTGGTAGAATGCTCGCCTTGAGCTGAAGAGCACAGGGACAGTGCCCAAGCCCAGAGTTCAAGCCCCACAACCGACAAAAAAAAAAATAAGAATAAATAAAAAGATTGTGGTTCAAAGCTAGCCCAGGCTGGAAAGTCCATGAAACTTTTATCTCCAATAAACAATCAGAAAACCAGAAGTGGTGCTGTGGCTCAAGTGGTAGAGAACCAGCCTTGAGATAAAGAGCTGAAGGACAGCGCCCAGGCTGAGTTCAAGCCCCATGACTAACCAAAAAAAAAAAATCTATTAAATTTTAAAACCAAAAAGTCAGAAACTTCTGGATATTAGTAACTTACATCTATAATCCTAGCTAGTCAAGAGGCTGAGATCACAATGCCACGCTAACCAAGCCAGAAAGTCTGTTTGACTCTTATCCAAAAATCCAGAGTAGAGCTTATGGTAGAGTGCCAGCCTTGAATGAAAAGGGTAAGAAGGAACACATAGGCCCCAAGTTCAAATCCTAGTACTGGTACCAAAAAAAAGAAAAAAGGATACTACAAATGCCCACACAAATTTGCAGTAAGCTCTTAATACACGACATGCGTTTTATGTATCTTGTCAGTGCTGGGGATAAACTCCATCCTGCTTGTACATGCTAAGCAAGTGCCCTCCCAGTGAGTTATAGTCTCAGCCCCTATACATGCATTTTAGTAAGTAAATAAAATCACACCTTGAGAAAAACAGAGCAACTTATAGACGATGATACCTGACAAGCATAGAAAAGGCCAGCAGCATACAAAAGGAAAGTGAGACAAAGCGAACCCCAGCAGGGGTGGCAGGAGGACGGCTTGTCATCAGTTGAAGTAATTGTTCAGCTTCTTCTTCAGTTGGTCTAAAAAGGAACATATAATTTGATTTTACTGTTTTTGTAGTTGAAAGAAGGAAGAAAAGGTGACTTTCCCAACATTTTAACACTTTATTACGTTATATCAGTATAAAAATTTTACATCTAAGATCATCAAAAACAAAACCAAGAAATTATAAGCTATGTGTGCTGGCTCATGACTATAATCTCGGCTACTCAGGAGGTAGAGTCTCAAGGACAGCCAGGGGTCTCACCTCTAATGCTACCTACTCAAAAGGCTGAGATCTAAGGATTACCATTCGAAGCCAGTTCAGGAAGAAAGTCCATGAGACACTTAACTCTGAATCATCCCCAAAAAGTTGAAAGCAGAGATGTGGCTCAAGTGGTACAGCACTAGCCTTGAGCGCAAACATGCTTAGGGACAGCACTGAGGCCCTTAGTTCACACTCCAGTTCGGGGGGAGAGGGGGAATTATAACCACTTTGCATCCTGTAAATTTTTTTTGTCAAAAATGTAAAACTCTACAGGATTGTGAAAATAGTAAAATTAATATTTATAGGGCACTCTAATTGAAACATCGAAATGCTAGGTGAAGTTGTTTTATTTCTTTTTATTTTATTTTTTTGTCAGTCATGGGGCTTCAACTGGATCCTGACTTTTCTGATTAAAGGCTAGCTCTCTACCACTTGGAGGCACAACTCCACATCTGGTTTTCTGGTGGTTGAGATGAGTCTCATGGACTTTACTATCTGGGCAGACTTCAAACCACGATCTTCAGATCTCAGCCTCCTGAATAGCTAGGAGTACAGGTATGGGTCAACAGTGTCTGGCTTTTCTTTTTTAAAGCTTTAATGGGATAATATCTGCAGGAAAATGGATGAACCTAGACCAAATCATGTGAAGTAAGCCAAGCCCAGCATATGTTTTCTCTCATATGCAGAAGCTAGATCTAAAATACTGTGTCATAAAACATTATATGTCTCTAGGCATTCACACAGTGAGATCAAAGGAGGATGCTCTTAGGAGAGGAAAAGAAAGGCATAATGCTTATAAGCACCTGATGATAAAAAAATAGTATTTCTCAAAATGAAGCTCAGGAAGTGGAAACAGAGGTTATTTCTTTTTTGCTGTTATTGTTTTCTTTTTGGTCTGTTTATTTATGTCTTCAGGAGCATAAGGGGAGGCATAGAAATGGAGGGACAACGGGGCTGGGAAGGTGGCTCAGTGGTAGAGCGCTTGCCTTGCATGCATGAGGCCCTGGGTTTGATTCCTCAGCACCACATAAGCAGAAAAAGCCGGAAGTGGTGCTGTGGCTCAAGTAGTAGAGCACTAGCCTTGAACTGAAGAGCTGAACGACAGCACCCAGGCCCAGAGTTCAGGCCCCACAACTGACACAAAAAAAAAGGAATGAGGGGGACAAGGGGTTAACAAATGCAGTAGTGGTACTCACTAGACACTACGCTGAAAATGAACTATACAACTTGTGGGTGAGGATGGGAGGGAAAAACTAGGAGAGAGCAAGGAAAGGGCGGCACTGTCCAAAAAGTGTACTCTTTACCTGACTTATGTAATTGCTACCTTTCTGCATATTACTTTTATAATAATAATTTTTAATTCTTATATAAAAAAAGCTTCAGTGAAGAATATTGAAATAGCCTTCTTATCATTCCATAACCTGAAAATGTCACATGAATTTATTAGAGAAATCACTCGGCTGTTGGTACAGGAACTAACAGACCTGCAGCTATAAAAGAAGGGAGGCCAGCGGTCCCTGATCATGACATGTATGTGTTGTCATGTAGCCATAACTGTCCTAAAGTGTTCACAGCTATATGAACTTCACACAATCAGCATGTTAATGTATTGTGGCACCTGAAATCTGAACCCAACTAATTGGGATCAGTGTCTTTTACTCAAATTGTCAAACCTCAAATTCACATGATTGGAGGCACCCAAAATGAGGACTGTACATGTAGCAGTGGAGGACATCTAAAGAATGTGGTGTATGGGCTGGGAAGGTGGCTCAGTGGTAGAGTGCTTGCCTTGCATGCCTGAGGAACCTGGGTTCGATTCCTCAGCACCACATAAGCAAAAACAAAAAAGCTGGAAGTAGTGCTATGGCTCAAGTGGTAGAACGCTAGCCTTGAGCTGAATTGATGATGGACAGCGCCCAGGCCCAGACTCAGGCCCCATGGCTGACAAAAAAAAAAAAAAGAATGTGTACAGTGACAAAGACTTGTGTTTCATAACCACATCATGTCAGGTTTTTGTTTCTGTTTTCTGGTCCTGGGGCTTGAATTCAGGGCCTAGATATCTGTTCTTTTGCTCAAGGCTAGCACTCTTATCACTGGAGCCACAGAGGCACTTCTGGCTTTTTTGAGTAGTTTACTGAAGATAAGAGTCTCCCAGAGTTTCCTGCCCGGGCTGGCTTCGAACCATGGTCCTTAGATCTCTGCCTACTGAGTAGCTAGGATTACAGGCATGAGCCACCGGCACCTGGCAATTTATGATTTCAGTTCTAAAGGAAAATGTAGGAGAGATTTGCCGAGAAAAGTATCAACACAGATCATTCAGGAGATAGTTGTGATGCTGTGTGCTAAAAGTAAGTTTCTTTATATTGTGATTAGAAATTAATAAATTATTCAAACCTTCTCCTGTACTACATTATTCTGTTTACAATGAGACCAAAACAAATATAGCTCGGCTAGATAAAATATCAATTATTGTGTACTTGAGTCCGGCAATCCCCATCAAAGCACAGTAGAGACGTAGGAGTGCGCTGGCCTTCACCACATGCTCTTCTTTCAGGCCTGAGTACACGGACACAGTGGGCTCCATCTCCACATCAGCCTCTTCCACAATGCGGGTGCTCCGTACAGTGGGAAGAATGCCCATTAGCTCCAGGAGAAGCTGCCTTCTCATTTGCCAAAGGACAGAACTGCTGGTCTCTCTTTTTCTCTGCAAGAAATAGGAATGCAAAAAGGAAGAGAGCATAGGGAATTTACTAAAAGAGCTAAAAGACATCCTGATTTAAGAACATGTGTGTGTGTGTGTGTGTGTGTGTGTGTGTGTGTGTGTGTGTGTGTGGTGTGTGTGTGTGTGTGTGTGTGTGTGTGTGTGTTTGTGTGTGTGTGCGTGCTAGAACTAGGATTTGAATTCAAGGCCTAGACACTATAACTGAGCTTTATTGTTATTGTTGTTTGTCGGTTGCAGGGCCTGAAATCTGGGCCTAGGCACTGTCCCTCAGCTCTTTAGCTCAAGGCGAGAGCTCTACCACTTGAGTCAAAGCGCCACTTCCCATTTTCTGGTGGTTAATTGGAGATAAGAGTCTCACAGACTTTCCTGCCCGTGCTGGCTTTGAACCATGATCCTCAGATCTCAGCCTCCTGAGTAGCTAAGATTACAGGCATGAGCCACCAGCACCCAGCTTCACTGAGCTTTTTTGCTAAAAATAGGCACTTTACCACTTGAACCATAGCTCCATTCTGCTTTTTGGTAGTTCAAAGCCAGCCCAGGCAAGAAAGTCCATGAGATGCTTATCTCTAATTAACCACCAAAAAGCCAGAAGTAGAACTGTGGCTCAAGCAGCAGAAGGCCAGCCTTAAACAGAAAAGCTCAGGAACAACATCTAAGCCTTGAGTTCAAAGAGCCCCAAGACTGGCACCACAAAAAAAAAAAAAAAAAAAAAGTAATTCTATTCTAGGTTATGACAATTTTTTTTGTGGAAATAGTTTGCAAATTAGGAGCTGGGAAGGTGGCTCAGTGGTAGAGCGCTTGCCTTGCATGCATGAGGTCCTGGGTTCCATTCCTCAGCACCACATAAGCAAAAAAAAGAAAAAAGCCGGAAGTGGCGCTGTGGCTCAAGTGGTAGAGCGCTAGCCTTGAGCTGAAGAGCTGAGGGACAGTGCCCAGGCCCAGAGTTCAGGCCTCACGACCGGACCCCAAAAAAAAAATAAAAATTTAAAAACTGTTGCAAAATATAACAAACAGACTCAGTTGAGGCAGGAGAACTGAATTTTTGAGGCCTGCCTGAGTAACTTAGAGAGAACCTGTTTAAAACAAAGTAAAAACAACTAGGAATACAGCCCTAAGTGGTAGAGCACTTGACCTAACATATAAGCAGCCCTATTTTCAATCCCCAGAACCACAAAATATATTCATATATATACAATATATATCTACCAACAGGTAAATGGAAAAACAAAATGTGGCATATAAACATGATGGACTATTATTTATTCTTGACAGGGAAGGGGGTTGAGAAAGGATCACATCATATATCCCAAGAAGGCACTGCACTCACTATATAGCTCAGCCGGGCTTCAAACTTCGGCCTACATCTCCTAAGTGCTAGAATTAAAGGTGTATACCACCATAACTAAGAAAATTCAAATATATACTATAACATGGATGAAAATACATATGATAAAGAAAATAAGCCAGATATAAGCCAGGCACTTTGGTTCATGTCTATAATTCTAGCTACTCAAGAGACTGAGACCTGGAGGATCAAAGTTCAAGGCCGGCCCAGACAATAAATTCACTAGCCTCCATCTCCAAATAACTTGGCCCAAGTGGAAGATTGCCAACTTAACAAGCCTAGAAACAAAAAGGCCCTGAGCACAACCTTCTACCAAAAAAAAAAAAAAAAAAAAAAAAGCCAGACACAGGAGGGGTGTGAGGTGGGGAGGGGAGTTGCAGTTGGGGAGGTGGGGAGGAAGGATGGTAGGGGAAAAGCAAAGGAGGGGGTAACAATGCTCCATAGGAAATACACTCATTACCTTGCTCGTGTAACTGTAACCCCTCTCTACAGTATCTTTACAATAAAAAATATATATTTAATTTTTAAAAAGCCAGACACAAAGTCATAAATACTCTGTGATTCACTTCAGGTGAGGTATGGAAAATGAGTAAATTCATAGAGACAGAAAGTAGAATAGGGGTTTTATGGATATGGAGAGAGGATACAGAAAATACAATGAGTTCAAAATTTCTATTTGGGGATGATTTTAAAAAAAAATTCTTAGCCAGGCACTACTGGCTCATGCCTGTAATCCTAGCTACTCAGGAGACTGAGATCTGAGAAACATGGTTCAAAGTCAGCCGAAGCAGAAAAGTCCCTGAGACTCATTTCTCCAATAAAAGACTCATTTCTCCAATAAACTCCTAGAAAAAGCCAGAAGTGGCATTGTGGCTCAAGTGGTAGAGTGCTAGCCTCAAACACAAACCAGCTAAGGGACTGTGCCCAGGACCTGAGTTCAAGCCCCAGGACTAGCAAAAAAAAAAAATTCTTGAAGGAGAATTAGACATATGGCTCAAGTGGTACACTGCCTGATAGACAAATGAGGCCCTGAGTTCAAACCTAGTACTGTCAAAAAAAAAAGTCCTAGAAATGGATTTATTCAACACTAAATATTCTATTATACACTTTTAGACACACAATTTGTTTTTGTTTTTTTTTGTGGGGTCCGGTAGTGGGGCCTGAACTCTCGGCCTGGGCGCTGTCCCTCAGCTCTTCAGCTTAAGGCTAGCGCTCTATCACTTGAGCCATAGCGCCACGTCCGGCTTTTTGCTTTTTGCTTATGTGGTGCTGAGGAATCGAACCCAGGGCCTCATGCATGCAAGCGCTCTGCCACTGGGTCACCTTCCCAGCCCCTAGACACACAATTAAACAGCAGAGTCTAGCTGCAATTTCCTGCATGGTGGACAGAAAATATTTCTCTGTTCCTTTCTCTTTCTCATTTTTTCCCATTTCTCCTTTTATTTCTCCTTATTTTATCCTATTATAGAAAAAAAAAATGCTAAGACAAGGCACTGGTGGCTCCTACCTATAATCCTAGCTACTAAGGAGGCTGAGATCTGAGGACTGCTGTTCAAAGCCAGCCTAGACAGGAAAGTCTGTGGGACTCTTACCTCCAATTGACTAGCAGAAAACCAGAACTGGCATCATGGCTCAAAGTGGTAGAGCACTAGTCTTGAGCAAAAGAGACTCGGGGACAGCACCCAAGCCCTGAGTTCAAACCCCACAACCAACAAAAAAAAAAGCTAAAACCTGAAAAACAGATTATACAGTGAATGTTATATATACATATATATATATAATGAATGGTTTATATAATGAATGTTTTGTATATATAGATATACATATATATATCTATATATATAAAACATTCACTGTATAATCTGAATATATATATATATATATACATATATATTTACCACAGCATATGAATATATGAAAATAATAGAATACAACATCTTTTGCTTCCCTCTTGGAACAGTTCTGAATCTGACCCAGGACCCTGGAGATTCCCAAGACACTCAGGGAAGCCAGAATAAGTCTTTCTTCAATAATTCTAACACAATGCCTTTTTACCTCCCACTCTCTCGTGTGTAGTACATTCTTCCAAATGCATCTATTAAGCAGATAATAAAGAAATTTGAAAAAAATGTAAAATAATACCCTACTCCCACTAAGTTGTTGTTTTGCTTTGCAAAATATATTTTCCATTAAAGAATAGATTACGAGCCAGACGCTGGTGGCTTACACCTATAATCCTAGCTACTCAGGAGGCTGAGATCTGAGGATTGCGGTTCAAAGCCAGACTGGGGAAGAATGTCCTTGAGACTCTCATCTCCAATTAACCACCAGAAAACCAGAAGTGGCTCAAGTGGTAGAGTCTCCTTGAGCTGAAGAGCTCAGGGACAGCACCCAGGCCCATAGTACAAGCCCCATGACCAACAAAATAAATTTTTAAAAAATAGATTATGTAAGATATGTATTCAAATGTTTTTTTCTTTCATACGATTGTTTCTAACACATTTATAAGATTATTTCTTTGTTGCTTTGTATGTCCCTCCCCCCACGGTATAACCCCTGCTTTCACTGTATCTGATGTTGTTATAATTTGTGGAGGGGAAGGGAAAAAACAAATCGTTTAAATAGGGATACAGGTGGACCCATTGCAACAATGAAACATACAAGTCCTTATGTCTTATGTCGAAAACGAACTTTACAACTTTGGTGGGGGGGGGGGGCGCGAAGGGTGGGGGGGGGGAGAAGGGTTCGGTGGGGGGAGGAGGGTTGGGTGGGGAGGGCGGGGGGGGGGGAGAGGGAGGATGGGATGCGAAGGGGAAACAAAGGAGGAGGCTACAATGCTTGATAAGAAATGTACTCATTATCTTGCCCATGTAATTGTAACCCCTCTGTACAGTATTTTCACAATAAAATAAAAAAGGAAAGAGATGTGGTTCAAGGAATAGAGTGCATGTCTAGCAAGCAAAAGGCCCTAAGTTCAAATCTAGAACTACCAAAAAGTTATGTTTATAGTCACGGTAGTACAATCCTGTAATCCTAGGATTCAGAGAACCAAGGCAGGATTGTGAATTCCAGATCAGCCAAGGCTACACAGTAAGACTGTCCTAAACAACAAGAAATAAACAAAAACTCCTGATCCTTAGCCTACATGCATATATACATATACATATATATATATATATATATATATATATATATATATATATATATACCTTACCTGCTGTCCATTTCGGATAAAAGTTCCAAACCAAGTCCGGACTTTTGCATTTGTTCCAAGAAGCAAACCACTAACAAAACAAACTAAGTCACTCACTCCATCTTCACACGCTTCATTTTTAGTATGATCCAATGTCAAAGCTACTCCAAGACCTGGCAAGTGACATTCTTCCACCTAAAACAACCAAGTGAACACATTAAACTCAGAATCATAAGGAAAGGAGCTGGGATGTTTCAAGATTTAACATATCTAATGTTTATAGGAAGAGATCTCAGAAAACAAAAACTCAGAAAAGTAACACATTTAATATGTAACTAAAATTCCCAAGCTCTACAAGATTCTGAAACCATTTTGGCCAAAGCACACTGTCCCCATAAAGGTTCTGTGTCATAAGAACAACAGGATTTCTTACCACCATGCCTCGGACCTTGAGGGCCTGAGAAGGGTTCATTTTACATAAGAAGCGTAAGGCATCTGTCCTGCGCCTTCCTCCAAGACTTTCTTCATCTTGTCGTTCTCCATTTTTGATCAAGCCCCTACAAACTAATTATGTAAACACTTCTATTATTTTACATTTTGTTATAAACCACGGGCACCACCAGTGGCTCATGCCTATAATCCTAGCTACTCAGGAGGCTGAGATCTGAGGATCGTGGTTCAACCCAGCCTAGGCAGGAAACTTGGTGGGACTCTAATCTCTAATAAACCACTAAAAAAACAGAAGTGGCCCTGTGGCTCAAGTGGTAGAGCACTCGCTTTGAGAGTGTAGGGACAGTGCCCAAGCCCAGAGTTAAAAAAAAAAAAAAAAAGACAAGTTTTAAACCATTTTTTCCTACCCTTGACAATCATTTATGTAGATTAGATATCACAGAAGAAAATCTTCAGGGAACTTGAAAGTATAGCGATATAAACAAGGGCAAAATGACACAAAGGAAGAAAAGGATTCAAAAAATGAACAGCAACCTGTAGGGACAATAACACCCAAACACTTGTACTATAGACCCAGAAAGATCAAAGGCCTGACATGTATTTGATCCAGAGGTAGTGGGTGCAAATCTGCTATCATGAAGTGAGGAGACAGAGGCGAAAGACCTAGAGTTGCTGGCAGGCTGAGCTACTTAATGAGACCTTGCATGAGAAGAAAAAAAAAGGGGGCTGGGGATGTGGCTTAGTGGTAGAGTGCTTGCACAGCATGCATGAGGCCCTGGGTTTGATTCCTCAGTACTACATAAACAGAAAAAGCCAGAAGTAGCACTGTGGCTCAAATGGCATGAAGCTAGCCTTGAGCACAAAGAAGCTCAGGGACAGAGCCCAGGCCCAGAGTTCAAGCCCCATGACCAACAACAACAACAAAGAAAATTATACTTACCTTCATTAAAACTATCAGGAACATTGGCCACTAAGAGACATAAGAACCAGGCACCATTTTTAACGTGTAGTAAGGCTTCAGCTACATCAACAATAGGAAGCAGAGAAGGGAGTTCTATAAGAAAACAAGTTAATGTCACTATTAGAGTGATGATTCACTGTGTTATAAATTAAATATCAAGATATCATCAATATGCAATTAATGTACTTTTGTTCTCATCGTTTAGAGTTGAGCTATTCAGTAGGATTGCGATTAGCCACATATGGATATTGAAACTTAAATAAAACTTAGAAAGAAAAATTCAGTCCCTCAGTTATACTATATACTTCAATTAATTCATAGCCTATGTGGTGACTGAAGTCTAACAGGACAGCATAAGAGACACTGTAGAAAGTAGTATTGACATTGTTGGTCTAAATATACTTCACAAAAATCTTCTTTTCTTTTCTTTTTTTTTTTTTTTTTTTTGGGTCCGGTCGTGGGGCCTGAACTCTGGGCCTGGGCGCTGTCCCTCAGCTCTGCAGCTCAAGGCTAGCGCTCTACCACTTGAGCCACAGCACCATTTCCGGCGTTTTTCTTTTTGCTTATGTAGTGCTGAGGAATTGAACCCAGGGCCTCAGGCGTGCAAGGCAAGCGCTCTACCACTGAGCCACCTTCGCAGCCCTCTTCTTTTCATTTTTATAGCTTCTTGCTATTATTCCTATGATACATACTTAATATTTTAAAAATTTGGAAAGTACAAAAAGGTACCTAGAAGAAAATTTAAACTATCTGTAATCCTATTTTTCCAAGTTAAGAACATTAAACTGGGCTGGGAAGGTGGCCCCACGACCGGACCCAAAAAAAAAAAAAAAAAAAAAAAAAACATTAAGCTGGGTGCTGGTAACTTATGTCTCTAATCCCAGATACTCAGGAGACTGAGATCTGAGGACTGAGGTTTGAAGCTAGCCTGAGCAGAAAAGTGCATGAGACTCTTATCTCTAATTAGCCATCTAAAAGCTGGAAATGGAAGTGTGGCTCAAATGGTAGAGTGCCAGCCTTGAGCAAACAATGTTAAGGGACAGCAGCACTCAGGTCCCACCCACATCTAATCCCATTACCAGAACCAATAAAAAATAGAACAAGGGGGCTGGGAATGTGGCTTAGTGATTAAGTGCTTGCCTGGCGTGCATGAAGCCCTGGGTTTTATGCCTCAGAACCACATAAACAGAAAAAGCAGGAAATGGTTCTGTGTTTCAAGTGGTAGAAAACTATCCTTGAGCAGAGAGGCTCAGGGCAGAGCCTAAGCCCTCAGTTCAAGGCCCAGGACTGGCAAAAAAAAAAGAAGAACAAGGGCAAAGAATGTTATTAGTGGTAGAGTGCTTGCCTAGCATGCATGAGGCCCTGGGTTCGATTTCTTGGTACCACATAAACACAAAAAAAATAAATAAAGGGCTGAGAATGTGGCTTAGTGGTAGAGAGATTCCCTAGCATGCATGAAGCCCTAAGTTCCATTCCTCAGTACCACATAAACAGAAAAAACCAGAGGTGGTGCTGTGGCTCAAGTGGTAGAGTGCTAGCCTTTAGCAAAAGAAGCTCAGGGACAGTGCCCAGACCCTCAGTTCAAGCCCAGGTCTGGCAATAAATAAGTCAATAAATATTTTTTTTGGGGGGGGGGTGGGTCTGGTCGAGGGGCCTGAACTCTGGGCCTGGGTGCTGTCCCTCAGCTCTTCAGCTCAAGGCTAGCGCTCTACCACTTGAGCCAAGCACCACTTCCCGCTTTTTCCTTTTTGCTTATGTGGTGCTGAGGAATCGAATCCAGCACTTAATGCATGCAAGGCAAACACTCTACCACTGAGCCACCTTCCCAGCCCCAATAATTTTTTTTTAAGCTGGAACTGGTGTTTTGGCTCAAGTGGTAGAGCACTAGCCTTGAGTACAAAGAGGCTCAGGAGCCAGGTGCTGGTGGTTCACACCTGTAATTCTAGCTACTCAGGAGACGGAGTTCTGAGGATCACGGTTCAAAGCCAGGTGGGACAGGAAAGTCCATGAGACTCTTATCTCCAATAAACCACTAGAAAACCGGAAGTAGTGCTGTGGCGGTAGAGCACTTGCTCTGAGCTGAAAAGCACAAGGACAGTACCCAAGCCCAGAGCTCAAACCCCACAACTAACCAAAAAGAAAAAAAAAAAAAAAGGCTCAGGGACCATGTCCAGGACCTGAGTAAAAGGGGAAGAAAACAAAAACACTTAAAAACCAAAAATAGAACAGGTGCTGATGGCTCATACCTGTAATTGGAGCTACTCAGAAGGCTGAGATCATATGAGGTTTGTGGTTCAAAGTCAGCCCAGGCAAAAAAGTCCCCACGAGAATCTTATCTCCAATTAATGACTCAAATACCAGAGGTTACCGGTACTGTGGCTCAAGTGGTAGAGTGCTAGCCTTGAGCATAAAGAGGTTCAGGACAGCACCTAGGCCCTGAGTTCAAGCTCCACAACCAATCAGAAAAAAAAAGAGCAATTTCTTTTCCTCTTCATAGTATCGTTTTTGTTCTAATTTTCATTAAAACTTCCACTTTACTCCTTGCTTTTTCCTAACATTCTATAAACTTTTTTCAAAAAGCATTCAAAAACAGGGGCTGGGAAGGTGGCCCAGTGGTAGAGCGCTTACCTTGCATGCCTGAGGCCCTGGGTTTTTTCCTCAGCACCACATAAGCAAAAAGAAAAAAGCTGGAAGTGGCGTTGTGGCTCAAGTGGTAGAGCGCTAGCCTTGAGCTAAAGAGCTGAGGGACAGCGCCCAGGCCCAAAGTTCAGGCCCCACGACTGGACCTCCCCCCCCCCAAAAAAAAAGCATTCAAAAACATTAAAATTAATAAATATATCCTATTATGTCATACTTTACAAATAATGTAAGTCCTTTAATCATTGTTCTACTATAATTAATTTTAAGTGAAATTGTTAAGGCATATTTTTATTTATTTATTTATTTTTTATTTTTTTTTTTTGGGTCCGGCCGTGGGGCCTGAACTCTGGGCCTGGGTGCTGTCCCTCAGCTCTTCAGCTCAAGGCTAACGCTCTACCACTAGAGCCACAGCGCCACTCCCAGCTTTTTTCTTTTTGCTCATGTGGTGCTGAGGAATCGAACCCAGGGCCTCATGCATGCAAGGCAAGTACTCTACCACTGAGCCACCTTCCCAGCCCCAAGGCATATTTTTAGTAGATGATACTTAACACATTAACATTCCAGGTGAAGAACTTACACAATGTTACTGAACAAAAACCTGTATGTGCAATATATTTAGCCACTCAGCACAGTACCTGCTTGTAAAATACAAAGTACATCTGCAGCTTCCTCCAAATACACAGGACTCTCAAAGAGTTCAGAAGACTTGAAAAAAAATTCTCCATTGGACTCAGATACCTTAAAAAATATATTTTTAAAAACAAGCTGTTAATGTCAAGTAATGAATTAAATAAGTCCCTTACTATTTCTGTAATTGACTGTTGAGCTCACAGACCACAATTTCTAATATGTAACAGAACATGCAGTATTTGATGAATTTCAACCAATTTAACCATTACTACTCAAACATAGTGGTATTAGTCTTATGAAACTCTAAAGCAAGACAAAAGAATAATTAAAGATACTTTTTTAAAAAGTCATTTTAAACAAAGCAATATAGCAAAGACAAAGTCATTCATTTCTGAATGAACTATGGGAAAAATAACGAGTAAGCCGGGTGCCAGTGGCTTAGGCCTGTATTCCTAGCTACTTAGGAGGCTGAGAACTGAGGATCACAGTTCAAAGCCTTAGGCCTGTATTCCTAGCTACTTAGGAGGCTGAGAACTGAGGATCACAGTTCAAAGCCAGCCTGGGAAGGAAAAGTCTTTCCTAGCAAGGAAGCAAGAGACCCAGGTTCAATCACAAGTGTGGGGGGTGAAAAATAGTACTCAGTAACTTTTTTGAAATTTTCCGACATTGTGTCACCATATTTCCTATAAAGAACACTAAACAACTAAATGTGTCAGAGGAAAAAGATCAGTTATTTTATCATTGCCATCAAGTAATGTACTAAGGAAAATATTCAGGAAAAAATGTATTTGAAATCCAAGAGGTAATATTAGTACAGTGGGAAAGAATGGAAAAAAATTATTTCAATCAATAAATTATAAGATTCGTAACATATCCTCAAAATACCACCTCAGCCAGGCACCAGTGGCCTACACCTGTAATCTTAGCTACTCAGGAGGCTGATATCTGAGGATTGCGATTCAAAGCCAGCCCAGGCAGGAAAGTCCATGAGACTCTTATCTCCAATAAACAACTCAGAAAACCAGAAGTGGCACTGTGGCTCAAGTGGTAGAGCGCTAGCCTTGAGCTGAAGAGCTGAGGAACAGTGTTCAGGCCCAGAGTTCAAGCCCCATGACTGGCAAAAAAAAAAAAAAAATACTACCTCAAACTAGATAAAACCAGTCAGAGTACCTATAGCTTACACCTGTAATCCTAGCTACTCAAGAGGTTGAGATCTGAGGATCACAGTTTTGAAGCCAGCTGGGGCAGGCAAGTTTCTTATCTCTATTAACCACCAAAGCCAAAAAGGGAGCTGTGGCTCAAGTGGTAGAGCACAGAAAAGAGTTCAAGCCCCAGAACCATCACCAAAAAAAAAAACTAAGAAAGAAATAAGAGCTAAAATCCTCTACCAGTATTTTCTTTGGAAACAGAATTTAGTCTTTTTTTGTCCACAATTGATTAAACTAAATTGATTTACAATAATTTAACCAATAACTCTGCCTCAAAAATTCTAGCCTAATATACAAACCATGTTAAGATGAAGATCCAATTTAGTTCTTTGTGTGATAGAGCCTTCATATTCTGAAATTTTAAATTCAGAGTTTTGATGAAGCAAAATTACCCACAAGGCCCATGACTTAATCTACAATTTTTCTGAGAAGAAAACTTCAATTGCCTTCATTAGGGGCTGTGAAGTCAGCAGATGTGCCAGGCTAACCAATAAACACCCTACATTCAAAGCTGGGCGCTGGTGGCTCATGCCTGTAATCCTAGCTACTCAGGAGGCTGAGATCTGAGGATCATGGTTCAAAGCCAGCCGGGGCAGGAAAGTCCCTGAGACTCTTTTTTTTTTTTTTTTGTTGGTTGTGGGCCTGAACTCTGGGCCTGGGCAGGGCACTGTCCCTCAGCTCTTCAGCTCAAGGTTAGCCCTCTACCACTTGAGCCACAGCGCCACTTCCAGCTTTTTCTGCTTATGTGATGCTGAAGAATCGAACCCAGGGCCTCATGCATGCAACGCAAGCACTCTACCACTGAGCCACCTTCCCAGCCGTCCCTGAGACTCTTATTTCCAATAAACCACTAAAAAAGCAGAAGTGGCACTGTGGCTCAAGCAGTAGAGTGCTCGCCTTGAGCTGAAGGGCGCAGGGACAGCGCCCAAGCCCAGAGTTCAAGCCCCAAGACCAACAAAAACAAAACACCCTACATTCAATCCCGTTTTGCTATTATTCACTGTCATCTGTGAGGTATGTTTAATGTTCATCCTGTGTCTCAGTGTATTACACACATTTTCTCAGTTAGGTTCACTATGTTTATGAGACAAATTCTATCCTGTGACACTATTACCAAGTTGGCAATTAATACAAATCTGGGTAAGAGTTCCTTTCTAAATGCTAAGAAGTCACTGTATCGATTCCAAACAGGTAAAGAAGAAAATCCTTACAAAAGAAAACTCAGAACAGGCATAAATGAGAGAAAACAGTCATTAAAGAAGGAAAGCATGCTTTTAATATTTCGGCCTTTGATACACAAATCAAATAGAAATACTAATAAAAAGAAAATGCAGCATGCCTGCCTTCTTCCCTTTATTTTTGTCTACATTTCCATGTGTAGACAGTCAATCATAAATACTTTCAAGTCTGGTTTAAAAAGTATATGCACCTTGTTCATAATCGCCAACAGCTCACTAAGCACAAGTCGCAATCGACGAGGTGAATCACTGTGTTCAAATTCTAGAGTCAAACCATGCTGAAGCTGCGATACCAGGATGCTCTCTCCACCACCTCCTCCAAGTTTATGCCTAATGAAGTAGAAACATAAAATAACAATTAGACAAATACTAGTATGGAAATAGATGAATAAAAATTAGCTGTTATGTGAGCCAGGCACTGATGGCTCACTTTTGTAATTCTAGCTACTCAGGAAGCTGAGATCTGAGGATCGCAGTTCAAAGCCAGCCCATGCCAGAAAGTCCATGAGACTCTTATCTCCAATTAGCCACCAGAAAACCAGAAGTGGTGCTGTGGCTCAAAGTCCTACAGCACTAGCCTTAAGCAGAAAAGCTCAGGAACAAAAGCCAGATCCTGAGTTCAAGCCTCATTAACAGATCAAAAAACAAAAAAACAAATTAGCTGTTATGGAAATAATCTACAAAACAATCCACATTTTAAATATTCTCTATGACTTCTGAAATAATATTTCATTTGACAATCTATTTCAGGAATATCATAACTGAGTGCTAACATGCAATTGTGTTAAAAACAATAGCTTGCTTCTGGAATTACAACAGGCAGGAAAGGATATAACATAAGCCCAGACTCTTTGTGAATCAAGGTAATCTTAAAAATAAAACTCCCAAGTGATTCCAAGAAATCTTTCCAATCTAGGGGAAGTATCCTACTCATTTCCCACAGAGAATATTGAAGTAAATATAATAGCACATGGTCAAATTTCTCCACACAGCACTTTTTTGGGGGGGGGCGGGCTGGTCCTGGGCATGAACTCTGGGCCCAGGCACTGTCCCTAAGTTCCTTTTTAGCTCAAGGCTAGTGCTCTACCACTTGAGCTACTGAGGCACTTTTGGCTTTTTCTGTGATTAATTAGAGATGAGAGTCTCACAGAGTTTCCTGACTGAGCTGGCTTCAAACTGCAGATCCTCAGATATCAGCCCCCTGAGTAGCTAGAATTACAGGCATCAGTGCCTGGCTTACACAGCATTTCATAATGCAGAAGAATCTGGAATTTTAATTATAAATAGAAAAGACCTAGATAAAATGTTCTCCAAAGTTGGGATTCTCATTCTTCTTTTTTCTGGAAGAGCTCTAAAAGCTCTGAAGAACAAATGACTTTCCATTTCCTGAAAATCCATATACTATACAACGTAAGGGTACCTAAGCTGCTGTTCTTTGCTGGCATCTTGTTCTAAAGCATGAAAGTCTACAGACAATAATGCAACGATAGAGTTGACGGCTTCCACTCCAGACAAAAGGCGAAGGATAAGTTTTTTATCCTGAGCCCAGCTTTGGCTCTGGTCAGCAGGAGCACAAAGTGCCATCCGCACCAAGCAGGGCAGGAGAAGTCTTAATTCCGGGTCACTTAAAGAGGCCAGGCGAACAACATCCACCTTCTGCATTGCCTCAAAAGCAAAAGGGCTGACAAACTGAAGGCTGGTACACTCCATCACTGTTGAACCTGATGCCTGAAAATCAAACAAACAAAATAATGAAAGAAGCATAATGTTTCCATACATATGATCACCTTTCTTTTCAAACACCTGAGCCCAGTGCCTGTAATCCTAGCTGTTCAGACCTAGCTATTGAGATCTGAGGACTGCAGTTCAACACCAGCCAGGCAGGAAAGTCTACGAAATCATACCTCCAATTAACCACCAAAAGCCAAAGTGGAGCTATGGCTCAAATAGTAGAGTGCTAGCCTTGAGAAAAATAAACTCAAGGACAGCACCCAGGCCCTGAGTTCAAGCCTCAGGACTGGCGCACATACACGCACATACACGCATGCGCACATGCACGCACAGGCACAAACTGAAAAGTGTGTTGCTTCTTTAGTAGAAGCCTATGTTGGCCATGTTCCTGTCTCAATTAAAAATCAGGCCTCTCTGCCTCCTTATATTTCTATTGCCATCTGGAAAATGAAAAAGAAAACAATGTATATTAACTTCTCTTCCAGACTTAGGAATCTTCTGCTACAATACTCTTGTACAAAGAAGGAATATGAGGTCTAGAGAATTTAGTTAAGGATAGAATTACTAATGTTAGTTTTTTACGGTTTAGATGAAACCCCCCATACACTAAATCCATGCCCAAGACTTTCCAGTGTGATCCAGGAGATTTGAAAGAAAGTGAGTGAACCAGGCACTGATGGCTCACGCTTATAATCCTAGCTACCCAGAAGGCAGAGATCTGAGAAACGCAGTTCAAAGCCAGCCAGGCAGGAAAATCTGTGAGACTCTTATCTCTAATAAACCACTCAGAAAACTGGAAGTGGCACTGTGGCTCAAGTGGTAGAGCACTAGCCTTGAGTTGAAGAGCTGATGGACAGCGCCCCGGCTCAGAGTTCAAGCCCCACAACCAACAAAAAAAAAAAAGAAAAGAAAAAAGAAAGTGAATGAGCCAGGCACCACTGGCTGGCTGTAATCTGATGATCAAGATTTAAAGCCAGCCAAGAACACAAAAGTCTGTGAGGTTTTTTGTTTTTTTGTTTTTTTTTGGTCGGTCATGGGGCTTGAACTCTGGGCCTGGGCATTGTACATCAGCTCTTCGGCTCAAGGCTAGTGCTCTATCACTTGAGCCATAGCACCACTTTTGGTTTTCTGGTGGTTCATTGGAGATAAGAGTCTCAAGTATTGGAGTTCCAGTGGCGTAATCGGTTAGCGCGCGGCACTTACAAGAGTCTCAAGAATTTTCCTGCCCGGGCTGGCTTCGAACCTCGATCCTTATATCTCTGCCTCCTGAGTAGCTAGGATTACAAGAGTGAGCCACCAGTGCCCACCAGTTGTGAGGTTCTTATCTCCAATTAACCACCAAAAAGCCTGAAGTGGAGCTATGGCTTAGGTGGTAGAGCTCCATTCAGCCTTAAGATCAAGCACTAAATTCAAGCCACAAAGTCAGAACAAAAGAGGAGGAAAAGGAGGAGGGAGAAGGGGTGGGAGGGGGAGGAAAGAAGGGAAGGGGGAGAGGAAGAGGAAAAGGGGAGAGGGACAGACAGAAGAGACAGGCGGGAGAGAGGGAGAGACAGAGAGAATATAACCATAATCAAAACTCTAGAACTCTAGTTTCACATGCCTACCTGCTACAGGCAAAGCACAGTAGGGTATCTCTTCCCTACCCTCCATGAGTAGATGAAAACAGTGATAAATCAGCTGGCTAGACAAGTAATGTCAGTTAAGGCTCTGAAGGCCACTCCGCTATGCTGTGTCTCCCATGTCACTGAACACAAGCAGAGAGGAGGGGACAAGTCGAGTCTCACTTGGGCACCTCTCCTCACGAATAATCAAACACAGCAACAAAAAGGGAGAGGGCAGCTCATCGCTGCCAGCCTCTGAAGACCCACTCCGGGCACAGCTGGACGGGACAAGTCGGGGGCAGAAACACTGCGGGAGACAAAGGTCTTTATCCAGAGGGCCGAGGAAGCCAAAGAGCTCCACCTCAAGAGTTGGAGAGAGGTGTGGACCGGTCCTGACAAGAACCCACCGTTCCCTCGGCCAGAGAGAAGTCAGGCCAGCTGCTGACAAAGAGCAAGGACGCGAGGAAGAGGGAGGAGCGGACTCTTCGTACCTGAAGATCTACTCTCGAGACACTCAGGACCCCACCCAGATCCCGCGTCTTAAGAGGCGGGACGCGGCAGAAATCGAGAGCGCGGTCCGAAGTCGGGCCTAGGCGATTATCCGGATCCCTAAACTCCAGCTGTACCCCCGAGTGGATTCGGACACCGAGAACTCAGTGCGGGGACACAGCCGGGTCGTTCGATAACGATGGGAACACCGCCCAGAGGGAAAAGTCAGTCTGAAGAGAAGGAAAAGCGGAGGAGACTTTCTCAAACTGCAGCCAGCACCTTCATTCATCCCCTGCGCCGGGCTCCTGCCGGCCACCGTACTGAGGGAGGCACAGCGGCTAAGAGAGGAAGTCCCGGCCTCCGCGCCGGCGCCGCGGCGCGCGTGCGCGGGCCCGCCCCTCCCTCCACCCTGTCAGCTCCGTGCAGTTACTCAGGAAGCTTCGAGTGTAGGTTCCAGTCCCTTTTATTTGCCTTAAAAAATGCAATCTTTGGCATTTTTAGATTTGGCCTATAAGAGCTTTATTTCTTGTTTATTTTCTTGGCGGTAGTGGAGTTTGCACTCATGCTTGCTAGGCAGGCACTGTGCCACGTGAGGCTTGTGTACAGCCTAGTTCCAGTGGTTTCCCCAGAACCACCACCAGTGTCTTTTCTTCTAAATTAGTTTCATCACTGCAGGATTATCGTGACATACAAATAATGAAATGAATGCGAAAGAAATATTTAACTGTATCCACTATTCTCTGACCTAAACATACTAACACGCTCAGATTTCCTTCCTTTAACTCTCTGCCTTTGCCTTCCCAGCACCCAAAGTTCTAGATTCCCAGGATTTGTATTTAAGTGAATTTTAAAACAATCTTATCCCAAACCTCCTTCCACTTTCAACTTCCCACATCCAAAGACCAAAGGGTTTTGTATTGTTTTGAGAAAGGGCTTCACTATGTATCTCAGGCTGGCCTTGAAATCAATCTTACTGCTTCAAATTCCCAGTAAGATATTCTTTCATTACTCATGAAAATAAACAAGTGCCCCGGAGGGCATCAGGAGGTGGAAAGACACCCCCACCCATGTTCATGGATTGGCAGAATATCGTAAAAATGGCTATACTACCGAAGGCAATCTGCAAATTCAATGCAATACTCTTCAACATCTCAGTGTCATTATTCACAGAGATAGAGAAAACAATCCAAACATTCACTTGGAACCATAAAAAGTCTTTACTAACCAAAGCAATCTTGAGCAAAAGAAGCAATGCTTGGTATTGACATAAAAACAAACTAATGGAAGAAATGAGGAGACCTAGAAATAAACCCGTGTGTGAAATGTACACTAGGGCCATCTGATTTTTTTAATAAGGGAGCTAAAAATATGTTGAGAAAAAAAACCTGTTCAACCAATGGTGCTGTAAAAACTGGATGCCCATATGTAGAAGACAAATACTGGATTCTCTAATCTGTCACCTTGTCCTAAGTCAATTCAAATACCTCAATGTAAGACCTAAACTACTATAGAAAAGTATAGAGGACACATTACACCTTATTGTCATAGGAAGGAACTTCTTCCTGAGTAGAATCCCAGGAGCTGAGCAAATAGTTGACAAATGAGGATTGATCAAGAGTTTTCAATCCTTATTTCAATGAATATCACCAACAGCTTGAGTTGCTTAAGCCAGAAACATGGTGGTCATCCTAATCTCTACTCCTTTCACCAAATTGGTACAAGTCTTTCAAGTCATTGAAACTATTTCAATAAGCATTACATAGAACTTAGACACACTCATGTAAATAACTTAGCTATTAGTTTATGAGTTTAATTCTATTTTCTATCTAGTCAACTATCTACACTAAAATAATTCATCTTTAAATAGTTGGACAGAGCTGTTTCAACATGTCAGTTTATGAGTCCAATACATCTTGACCAATGTCACCTCTCCCTATCATTCCCTCCCAACTCTTAACATTTTTAAAAGGTCCTGTAGCTTGTTTCATTAAGTAGGATTATTTCACAAATAACAAAAACCTTCAAAGTAGCCCCAGGGATAAATAGAAATTACAAAATCTCTGTCATAGGACTGTATCATATACCATACCTTTTGTGACTATAAAGTATTTGAAGAAATGATCATGTATGTCTGTCCTCGGGCTGGAACTTTAGGCCTGGGTGCTATCTCTATGCTTTTTTGCTCAAACCACATTACCAGTTGAACCACAGTTCCACTTCTTGCATTTTGGTGGTTAATTGAAGTGTATCCTAAACTTTCCTGCTTAGATGGCAGTGGAGGGGCATCTGTGACCCATGTCTATAATCCTAGCTACTCAATGAACTAAAATCTGAGAATCCAGCTTCAAATGCAAGCCCAAGCAGACAAATCTGAAACTTATTTCCAATTAACCAGCAGAAAAGACAGAGGCATGGCTTAAGTGGTAGAGGGCCAGCCTTAAAAGAAAAGCTAAAAACAAGAGACCCTGAATTTTAACCCCAGTGTACGTACACACACACACACACACACACACACACACGAGTTATTACTGTGTTCATTTGTAAAAGAACAGATTTTCAAAGTTTTTTTTTATGGTCCATCTTATTAAGGCTTGAACTCAGGGCCTGGGTGCTGTACCTGAGCTTTTTTGCTCAAGGTTAGCCCTCTACTACTTGAAGCCATAGAACTACATCTGGTTTCTTGGTGTTTAAGAAGCAGCCTGAAGGATTTTCAAGTTGTGCTTTGAGGGCTGTTTAAATTTATCACTTTGTGAGATCTTTTTCTGTGTAATATGTAGCAGCAAAAGAGGGGGTTCTTTAAAAGAAACACCTTTATAGTCACAAAAGACCATTCTTTTCCATTTTTATTTTTTGGTGCAATACTAGGGCTTGAAATCAAGGCCTTCCTCTCTCCCAAAGGTGTCTTTTTTTTTTTTTTTTTGCCAGTCCTGAGACTTGAACTCAAGGCCTAGTCACTGCCCCTGAGCTTCTTTTACTCAAGGCTAGCATTCTACCACTTTGGCTACAGGCACCCTAAGGTTTTTAGATCTTGGTGGGCATACTAGCATTTGAGCCACTGGCAACAAGAGCAAAATAGCATTAAGTTTTGTTGGGTCATTCTAAAAAAAAAAAAATTGTTTTAATTTTCAGGAAAGCACTCCTAAAGAAGAAACAGAAAGGGCTAGGAATGTGGCTTGGTGGTAAAGTGCTTGCCTAGCATGCATGAAGCCCTGGGTTTGCTTCCTCAGTACCACATAAACAGAAAAAGCTGGAGGTGCTGTGACTCAAGCTGTGGCTCCTGTTGGAGAGTGCTATCCATGAGCAAAAAGAAGCTCAGGAACAGTGCCCAGACCCTGATTTCAAGTCCCAGGACTGGCATTAAAAAAAAAAAAAAGCACCTGAAAAATAGAAAACAAAGTTGGGTGCCAGTCTCTCAGGATACTGAAATCTGAGGAATAAGTGTCAAAGCCAGCCTGAGCAGAAAAGTTCAGACCCTTATCTCCAAAAACTCTCAATAAAGCCAGAAGTGGAGGTAGGGCTCAAGTGGTTAGAGTGCTAAGTGAGATTGTGAGGCTGTGAGTTCAAGTCCCAGTATTTGGTGCATATACACAAATTAAAAAAATAGAGAACAGAATGGATGAAACAGGAATACACAATAAAGTTTAAAAGACAAACTTTCATCATAAGCCATAGTGAAATTCTTTTCCTCTGCTGTTTTAACTTGCATGAAACAGTCAAATAGGCCAGTGTTCTTAAGACTTCTATAATCTTAGCTATATATTTTTGGTGTGTTGGGTGGGGGTTGGGAAAATTGTCAGATAGAAACCTGAACTGCCAAACTTGAATAATAAAATCTTGTTATGCAAAGTTTGGACATTTTCATTCACATGTTTAAAAGATAATAGTTTCCAGTAAATGTCCATGTTTCCTTGAACAATATCTCAATGTTATCTGTCCTAAATCACTTTAGTTCAAACTGTATTTCTACCTTTATTCTGCAGTTGATTCTCTGCCTGTAGATTTCTCAAATAGCTTCAATGACCACCATTCCAAAGTATTTTGGAATCTGTGTGTGTGTGTGTGTGTGTGTGTGTGTGTGTGTGTGTGTCTGTCTGTCTGTCTGTCTGCTGGTACTGGCTGATGTTTTTAACTCAGGGGTTCATGCTCTTCTTTAGCTTTTCCTCAACACTGACACCCTATCAATTTAGCCACAACTCCATTTCTGGCTTTTTATTGGTTTAAGTGGAGATAAAGAATCTCAGTTATTCTGTCTGGACTGGCTTCAAACTTTGATCTTTAAATTTCAGACTCTTAGCCAGGTGCCAGTGGCTTATGCTTGTAATCCTAGCTATGCAAGAGGCTGGGATCTGAAGATGATAGGTTGAAGCCAGACTGGTATCTCCAGTTAACCACTCCAAAACCAGAAGTAGAACTATGGATCAAAGTGGTAGAGCACCAGTCTTGAGGAAAAAGTCCAGGGGCAGCATCCAGATCCTAAGTTCAAGCCCCATGACCTAAGTTCAAGCCCCATGACCTACCAAAAAAAAAAAAAAATCAGACTCTTAAGTACAGTATCTAGGATTGCAAGCATGAGCCACCAGTGCCCAACAGGGCTCATTCTTAATTTTTATGAATTCTTTTTCAGGTATATTGTGATTTTAAAATAACTAATCAGAAAAAGCCAAAACATGTTAGTGTTGATTCTAAATATTCAGTCAGGCACCAGTAGGTCATGCCTGCAATTATAGCTACTCAGGAAGCTGAGATTCAGAAAAACTCTCATCTCTAAAATAGCCAGAAAAAAGCCAGGTTGTAGGCATGACTCTAGTACAGGTCCAGCAGGGGAAGCTGAATAAGTGTAAACAAGGCAAGTTGAGTAAGGTGTTGAGTTCAAACCCTGCTCCTAGCAAAAAAAAACAAAAAACAGTAAATGTAATTATACTTAAGACTAGAACACTAGTATTAATTTACCTCACAAGTTTAACAAATACGTTTGTATAAATAATGTGCTACTGATGAGTTCAAGATAAACTTCATGAGTAATTTACAACATTTCATGATATTCAACATAGTTCACATACTTTTTACCTCTATTTCTTCTCCTTAAAAAGAATCTATACCCAATGCCAGTTGCTGAAGACTGTAATCCTCACTACTCAGGAGACTGAGATATAAGGATCATGGTTTCAAAGCTAGCCTTGTCAATAAAGTCTGTGACAATCTTTTTTTTTTTTTCCCCCTTTGGCAGTCCTGGGGCTTGAACTCAGGGCCTGGGCACTGTCCCTGAGCTTCTTTTGCTCAAGACTAGCACTCTACTACTTGAGC